CGTCGGATTAATTCTGATCCTTCACGGAACCTTCTCACCATAAAATACCGGTTCTAAAAACCCAACTTGCGTCCCGATCGGCCCATCATGGCCCCATGAACAGTAGATCACAGCCACTGTTATTTTCTAATTTCCAATAATTAATGCCCGAATTAAATCCCAAGGCCCGCCATAAAATTTCCACTACCAATTCATACAATTCCGCACCTAACTTTATACAGATTTCGCCCAAAATCGCCCGTCAATACCCGAAGTCCCAAATCGGGTTTAGAGCGCGACTTACCCGCGTTCTAGACTATCGCGGCTAGAACGGAAAGCGGCGGCCCTTAATCGGGAACGGCGGCGACGACGTACGGCTCCCGGGTGGCGGCGATCGGCTTGGGTGGCGACGGCGCGACTTACTTGGCCGTGGGTCTTGCCTCACGTGAGAGAGAGAGGGAGAGAAAGAGATGGTGAGATTTGAGGATAGTGGTGGCTTGAGGGCGGCGTGGATGACGGCTTGAGGGCGGTCCGGCGTGCGGCGGCGAGCGGCGATGCCGGCGGTGGAGGAAGAACGGCCAAGGAAAGCCCATGGTGGAGGAGGGGGAAGCTCACGGCAATTTGGGGGAGAGAAGGAGAGAATGGAGAGAGAGAAAGATGAGAGAGAGTGTCTACGGTTGGGGGGGATGCTCACGGCAGCAAGGGGAAGAGAAATGGAGGAGAGAGAATCTTATCTAGACTTAAAATAGGAACTTTGACCCAAAAATATCTAAAGCAAAAATGACCAAAATGCCCCTTGCCCAAAACTAACCTTTTATAAATCCTTAAGGGCAAAATCGTCACTTTCTCCATTTCTCGCCGAAATCGAATTTTTCCAAAGAATTTGAGCGCACCAAAAATTGATACTTGTCACGTGCAACGTCGTCCTAATGTTCCGGCGTGACTTCCTAATTTTCCGGTGTCCAATTTGGGCAAAAAATCAATAATTAAATTCTATTAAACGCATCTCGAGCGTTTCTCGAGCTAACGGGCGGCTTGCTGGAGAAATTCGCGAAATCGACTTATGATTGATACTAAATCGAGTCACGTGCAAGTCCGTTCGGTGCGTAACGACCTCGGTTGTCATTAAAATCGCGAAGATCAATCACTTGATCCGAGGGGTATGATCATTCGGTATAATTTCAGAATCATTCGTCAAGTCGTTTCGTGGTCCAACGAAATCACCCGCGATCCACTACTAGGACAGTGGCGAACTGACCCCTAACTATCCTTGGATCGGCCAACAGTGGCTCAAAATATCACTTACGCGATTTAACGATCGAATTTTCTTTAGCGCGAATTTAATTCCCTATTAGCCTTTCCCTAATGGTTAGCATTCCCAGGAATGATCAGTTCCGGGCGAGAATTTACTGCGAGCACATCTCATAAAACTCAGTTATTTCATGATTTCCAATTGGCGGAAATTTCGGAATGTCACAATCTTCCCCTCTTATAAAATTTCGTCCTCGAAATTTACAATCTTACCACTACTAAAAATTTACAATTCCTTACTGTTGCTCAAACAATTGGGGGCACTGACATTGCATCATTTCTTCGCTTTCCCAAGTTGCGCCTTCAGTCCCGTGGTGCTCCCAGATAACCTTGACCATTGGGATCGTCTTATTTCTCAGAACCCGTTCTTTCCGATCTTCAATCCTGATCGGTCTCTCGACGTACGATACTTTATCATCCACTTCTATTTCTTCGTAATTCAACACATGCGTCGGGTTCGGTTCATATTTCCTCAACATTGATACGTGAAACACGTTATGCACCTGCGACATATTCGGTGGTAACGCAAGGCGATACGCCAGATCTCCAATTCTTTCTAGCACTTCAAAGGGTCCCACATATCTTGGACTCAACTTCCCCTTCGTACCAAACCGGGACAATCCTCGCATGGGCGACACTTTTAGAAATACGTGATCCCCTACTTGGAATTCCAGAGATCTTCGCCTTCTGTCTGCGTAACTCTTTTGACGGCTCTGCGCTGTCTTCAGCCTTTCATGAATGATCTTAACTGCCTCGATCGACTGCTCAACCAACTCCGGCCCTGTTATAGCTCTTTCTCCCACTTCATCCCAACACACGGGTGTTCTACAAGCACGGCCATATAGCGCTTCAAAGGGCGTCATTCCAATACTCTGCTGGAAGCTGTTATTGTAAGCAAACTCCACTAAGGGCAGTTGCTCTTCCCATTTACCTTGAAAATCCAGCACACATGCCCTGAGCATATCCTCTAGCGTCTGAATCGTCCTCTCAGACTGGCCATCTGTCTGAGGATGATAAGCTGTACTGAACTGCAACTTGGATCCTAACGCCGTCTGCAGACTTTTCCAAAAATTGGCGGTAAACCTAGGATCACGATCCGATGTTATAGACACTGGTACCCCATGCAGGCGAACTATCTGCTGCACGTACAACTCTGCATACCGTTCTAATGCGAAATCCTTTCGCAATGCCAAAAAGTGTGCCGACTTAGTTAATCTGTCGACAATCACCCAAATGGTGTCATGACCTCTTTGACTTCTCGGCAATCCCGACACAAAATCCATGGTTATATGCTCCCATTTCCACTCTGGGATTTCCAACGGTCGCAACAATCCTCCAGGTTTACAATGTTGCGCTTTCACCTGCTGGCATGTCAGACACTTAGCCACGTGCTTCGCAATATCCGACTTCATATCGTTCCACCAATAATATTGCCTCAAATTCCTGTACATTTTAGTACTGCCTGGGTGGATACTATACTGACTGCGATGCGCTTCGAACAAAATTTCTTCCTTAACTCCCGCATCGCCTGGCACACATAACCTCCCACGAAATTTCAATACCCCGTCCTCGGATACCTTAAAATCCGGCTTTCTCTTAGTAACATCCATCTCAATAACCTTCTGTATCTCTGGGTCCGTAGACTGCAAAGCTTTAACTTTAGCCTGGATCTCCGGCTCAATCCTTAACGTAGCTAACAGACTCGAGACTTGACTTACTTCAAACTTGAACTCCGAGTCTCGCACATTCTCCAATAGGATCCACTCCTTGACCATTAAATGCGCGATGCTTGATTTTCGGCTCAACGCATCCGCAACTCGGTTTGCCTTTCCAGGGTGATATAGAATATCACAATCATAATCTTTCAATAATTCCATCCAGCGTCGTTGCCTCATATTCAACTCTTTCTGCGAAAATAAATACTTGAGGCTTTGATGGTCAGTATAGATCTGAAATCTTTCTCCGCATAAATAATGTCGCCAAATCTTCAGGGCGAACACTATTGCGGCTAACTCCAAGTCATGCGTCGGATAATTCAATTCATGTGGCCTCAACTGCCTGGATGCATATGCTACCACTCGCCCATGTTGCATCAACACACACCCTAATCCTTTCAACGACGCGTCACTATATATTTCATATCCTCCCGGTCCTGATGGAATCGTCAACACCGGTGCCGTTGTCAACCTCCGCTTCAACTCCTGAAAACTTCCTTCACACTGATCTGTCCATTCAAATCTATTCTCCTTCTTCAATAATTGAGTCAACGACATTGCTATTGCCGAAAATCCTTCCACAAAGCGACGGTAATATCCAGCCAGACCCAGAAAACTCCGAACTTCTGTTACCGTTGTCGGTCTAGGCCACTTTGTCACGGCCTCAATCTTCGACGGATCCACAGAAATTCCTTCTCCGGAAATTACATGACCGAGAAACGCTACTCGACTAAGCCAAAATTCGCACTTGCTAAACTTAGCGTACAGTGCGTTCTTCCTCAAAGTCTGCAACACTCTATGCAGATGAAATTCGTGCTCCTCCCGGCTTTTCGAGTACACCAGTATATCGTCGATAAAGACAATCACAAACTGATCTAAGAATTCCTTAAATACCCGATTCATTAAATCCATAAAGGCAGCAGGGGCGTTCGTTAATCCGAACGGCATCACCATAAATTCATAATGTCCATATCTCGTCCTAAATGCCGTCTTCGGTACATCCTCCTTCTTAATTCTCAACTGATGATACCCCGTTCTCAAATCAATTTTTGAGAATACCGAAGCCCCTTGTAACTGATCAAACAAATCGTCAATCCTTGGCAAAGGGTATTTATTTTTAACTGTCACCTGATTTAGCTGCCTGTAATCTATACACAATCTCAACGATCCATCTTTCTTTCTTACAAATAAAACTGGCGCTCCCCACGGAGACGCACTGGGACGAATAAACCCCTTATCTAACAACTCTTGCATCTGCACCTTTAATTCCTTTAACTCCGATAGCGATATTCTATAAGGTGCCTTCGAGATTGGCTCAGTTCCAGGTGCCAACTCGATTACAAACTCTACTTCCCTTTCCGGCGGTAATCCCGGTAATTCTTGAGGAAACACATCGGGATATTCACACACTACCGCTATATCCTCAAGTCTCGGCTCTTCAGCCGTCGAATCCACTACCACAGCTAGAAATCCTTGACATCCTTCATTCAACAATTTTGCCATTTCCACCGAGGATATCAACGGAATCGAGGGTCCTCCTCGACTTCCTACAAATTTAAATTCCGGATGTCCAACAGGATTAAATTGGATCACCCTGCTATTGCAATCCATTACAGCCCTCTGCTTAGACAACCAATCCATCCCTACTATCACGTCAAAATCATACATATCTAGAACTACCAGATCAATCAATTCCTCCCTATTCCCAATCACAATCTTACAGTTTGGACAACCCAAAGATATCAACATCTTATCGTTTAAAGGAGTCGTCACACATAGCATAACATCAAGCAATTACGGTTCTATTCCAACTAACTCCACAAACTGTTTCGATATAAAGGAATGCGACGCTCCATGATCAAATAAAGCATACGCAGCATGGTTGCACAGAGAAATCGTACCTGTGACAACCCCTGGTGCGTTCTCAGCCTCTCGTCTGGCCATCTCATATACTCGTCCTTGAGCTTGAGGCCTATTCTGATTCAGATTCGCTGTCTAGGCCACTCCAGTCCGATTCTCATTCCGAGGTGGCGGCAAAGCAAGCGGTCTATTCTGCCTGGAATTGGGGCAATTCTTTATATGATGCCCAAATCCTCCACATCCAAAGCAAGCTCCACCCCTGGTTGGACAAGGCCCGTTTCCATGTCGACCTCCACAAATCCTACACGGACCATTCCCAATCTGGATTGGCTTTCCAATATTCCTTTTAACTGGTGGAGTAAAACGCCTATTATCCACCATCGGCCTCTTTCCCGGATTACGGTTATTCCAACCCTGGACAAACTTCGATCCAGATACGGCGGCTCTATCCATCTGATCCCGCTCAAGAATCTGGGCCTTATCAAATATCTGCTCATACGTTCCCAGGTTTACTAGTAGCAACTGGCTACGGATGTCCGCTCTCAATCCATCTAGAAATCTTCGCGCCTTATCCTCAGGGTGTTCCACCATTCTTGGCGCGAACTTAGACAATCTCGCAAATTCCGCCTTGTACTGATCTACCGTCATCTGACCTTGGCGGAGTCTCATAAATTCCGCGAGTTTTCTTTCTCTGGCACTAGCTGAAAAGTATTTCTCATAAAAACTCTCGGTAAAAACAGCCCAAGTCTTGGCTGTACCTTTAGGAAAAATCCTATCCCTGGTGGCTTTCCACCAATCGTTAGCATTATCCTGTAGTTGATATACTGCTAAGGTCACCTTCTCATGATCGTTACATTCCAAAACCTCAAAAGCTTTCTTAAGCTCCTCTACCCATCGAGGTGCAGCCTCCGGGTCACCTTTCCCAAAAAACTTGGGTGGTTTCAACTTTATGAATTGTTCTACCAGCTGGTGCATAGGTCTATTCGCAACCACTTGCCCCTGACCTTGGTTCTCATTAGCAACAGCAACAGCCTCGACGGCTTGGGCAACCGGAGCAGCTCGCTCCTGAGTCTGCCACTCTATTATATCACCAATCCGTTCCAACGTTCTCATCACAGCTTCCATTCTCGGGTCCACAACAGATCTAACTTCTATTTCGGGGTTTGCTGCTACTCCAGCATCAACTCCTAAATTTTCCATCGCTCCAGCACCCATTCCAAGATCCTCTACGGCTCTAGCTCGAGCGCGTCCTCTACCCCTGGATCCTCTACCAGCGCCCCTTCTTGGGACTCTTCCTACTCCTCTTCCTTCGCTGCTCATCGTCACGATTCTACCACTCTATTACTTGCTGTAATTCCATTCAGGAATTAGCAGTCTAAACCAACTAGCTCAATCCAATTCTAAGCAGCGAATTAACACATCCGTTTACTCAACAAGCAATTCCCCACTACAAATCACGAAATCACCATCGTCAAAGTCTGAACACTTACCTCAAGTCCAGACGCTCCTGCAATTCAATTACCACACACAATTGACTTACACAAACATTCACAACAACCAATCTGGAGGCACGTGTAGCTCACTCTACCCTACACCCCACTAAGATCTCCCCAATTACTACCCTAAGGTTTCCGCTCCTTATCACTCCAAGTTTCGACCAATTCTAGATCGAGCTAACCTTGCTCTGATACCAATTCAAACGGGGATGTCACATCCCGAGCCCTCCGTCGGGCCCGCGACATCCCGCCTTCGGTCGAACAGTTGAACGTCCCAAGTTATCGCCGACCTCAACTAAACATCAGAGATTTAATTGCGCACACGGAAATCAAAAATACCCGGACAAATTTAAACTGGGGAGAATTGGGAGAATATACATTTCCATTTCTTGTTCAACTTGTTCCACCATATATGAAAGACTAGCACAAGTTGAATTTGTAGCGATCAGTGTTCGTCCAACTGGACCAGACCTGGAACTGACCTATTGACCAGATAGCAATTCAACCATTTGAATTATTTAACTGACCACATCTTATAAGCTCTTTTCGTCAGAGTACTATTACTCCATGGTGATTCGAGAACTCATATTTTCCTCATATGATACAACACCAGAGAATATGCTGTACCACTGTTTGACCAAATTTGTTTTTGCACACAAATCTGACAAATAATATCCCAACCTGACAACTTTAATCTGAAGCGCCATATTTCATAGGCGACATCATGATTCACAAGATCACAAAATTCACCAAAATGAAGATGGTAATTTTTAGCTTTGCAATTGATTCAACAGCTTTCAGTTTAGTCATGTAAGATGAGGACAAAATCTGCAGCCGTTATGAAAATCCAATTTTGAAAGTATACCGTGCAATAGCAAAGTCAGTTAAAATTTATTGCTTCTGCCAGGATAAATGGAAGAAGGCTAGACAAGCATAACCCATCAACCACAGAAGGACCAAAGGCCCTGATGGAAAAAAGAAGAGCCATTAAGTGCATTCAGGACCACTGTTTCAAGAAGTCAGATCAGCCTGGAGTTTGGGAAATCAAAAGGGGATGACTGGTCTACCTTTGTCTTCCTCCATTAACTCAAATAAAAACTTGAATATAAAGAAGTAGCTCGAGGTGATTTTCAATATTCTCTGTTGGTTAATTTTGAGAAATGTTCAGAATTCAATCAGTGAAAGACACTGCCATTTAAAAATCATGCAAAGGCTAATATACTTCTTTGGAAGTTAATGAAAATCTGATACTCTGCAACATTCTTTATCTGCCTTATTTTAATTTGTAACAGCCTCTTGGGTTATATCTTGACATAGATAAGGTGATCATTGGATAAAAAACTGCATGTTACAAATTTAGTTTGACTAAAAGTCCCAACCCCACTCATGTTGATGATTTCTATATTGAAATGAGATTCATAGAAAATCACCCTATGCACATTCATGATTCTCAAATCTCAATGCTATCTGCCATCATGACAATTGCACAATATCAGAACATTCACTGCCTTCTGCATGCAATTCTAGGCATTTACCTGCAGCACTTTCAGTGTGCTCGCGTATGTACACGGCCTCCCGATTCCAAGCTCTTCCAGCTTCTTAACCTTTAACACTTGAGATTGTAAAGATGCAGAACAATGCATCCAAAGGAAAAAATTACAAAAACTAGCATCCCCAGTAACATAACTCAGCCACTACTTTAACATAACTCAGCTACTATTTTTCTAATCTCAACCAGAAGATTACTCTGAATCCAGTCAAAGGGATAACAGCTATATAGACCCCTCCCTCCCAATCTCTATGGCAAAACCCTCGTGAAAACTGGAAAACACCAAATGAATATAAATATATCACTCTTAAATCCTCCTGAACACCGTCAAAAACACCAAACACATACTGTTACAGAAAGAACAAAACTTCTCAACGATGCATGTTGCAAGTAAATCAACGAAACAATAACCTCCAAATATAAAATCTTTCTAATGAACTTCAGCTTTTCAGAATCATTCCGAACATGAGAAGATGGAGTCCTTGCCGATATTAGGCACTTCGTGAACATTACCCGAAACCATTTAGAAGAGTTCGATTATATAGATAAAATGACAGTAACTTACTAATGCACCCTCTGAGTAGCGCGATGGAGGCTGAGTGTAGTGTTGCTTGGATCGCACATCACTGAGAGTCAGTAAATCTCCAACCTACTAAACAAATATACATTAAAATCTTGATAGAACTTGAAAGTAAACTGGCAATTATAAGCAAAAGATCATCATGAACAAACTCTGATATAGTTCCATCTCCTTACACGGATTTACTTAGCAAGACAAACATTAATTCTTCTATATCGTCTTAATGATGGTTCTATACCTTCAGAGAGCTCAGTACTTCAAAAGCTTCATCACGTTCATTCCCTTCATTTTCTTTAGACCTCACTGTTTCCGCTTCCACATCCTAAAAATAGAAATACAGCAGTATTAAAAGTAGCTTGGCAAAAGAAAAAAATACCCATCCACAAGAGTTGATCCAATCGAAACATTGGCTCTCACCGAAAACAAAGCCTCAAACATGACTCACCTAGTAGACTTAAATGTTGCACTATAAAAGAACATGCAAATGCAGTCAAAACACGTTTTAAAACTCAACTTTCTAAACAAACATAAGCAGATTCCCAACTACACAATATTACTCAAATTTATCATTGACATCTAGCTCTCTCGTTTGAAGTAAGGCTTCTTCCTACAATGGATTCGGCTCAGACATTTTCTGTGCAGAAGCTGACTAACTAAGATGCTCTTCTGCAAGATCACGGTTCCATAGACCAAATTCACATTGAGATATATAAACCGATAAAAAACTATACTCCTTGTCCTTTTTTCTCCATTAATCATCTATAAATGCCTGTTATGATAAGTCAGAATACTGGCAAAGAAACTGGTTAATACACATGGAAGTAGGATAACATTTAATTATAAATGTTTGCTTACACTGCGAGTCTCCACATGGTTATCTTCATTTAAGATTTCAGTCAGCTTCCAATTCGGGAGAAACACTTTTAGATTCTATTTTAACCACTTGTAAAATCCAGCAAGACTCCCTCACTCAAAGTAGGTTCAATTTTACTTTTTCTCGCACTAAAAACCATGAATCCACAGATACTCTTGAGTGCACCTCTATATCTATTTGAACATCCTCAATATGAATGTTATTCCTCATCAAATTCCCAAATAAGCTTGTTGGTCTTTCGGAAATTACCAGTATCATTTCTTACATATGATAAGCATGCTTGTTAAACTCTATCCAATCTGAAATAATGATACTTTACCATAACAAACTCAAATGGCACTCACAGCAATGAGCTGCTTGGAATTTCACACATTTTTAACATAGAAGCCATGACACAAGTGTACTGAGCACAAACATGCTGATAAAGATTTTATACCTTGAAAACTGCCTGGTAACCAAGAAATCCAATTTTCGAGCTTGAAGTATTCAACACAATAGACCCATCAGCATTCTTAATCTCCACAAGAATCTGGATTAGAAGAAGACTTTAGTCCTTGAGTCAACGACCTTTATGAACAAGATAAAAGCAGGTACCGACATAGTTGATAAAAGCAACAAAAACTGAGAACACTGTTATAGTTGAACATGCTTCAAATCTAATTCATAATGTTGACTGGGGAAGCATAGAACCTCTTCCATTTCCATAACTAATTGATTTATGGTTTATTACTCCTAAATTTCCAGAACTGACGTCTAGTACTCTCTCATCCAGAACAAATTTAGAGTAAAAGTTTACAAATGGTACTGAATTTAACTTGAGTCGCTATAGCAACTTCTCTTAACCATGATTATCAACATTGACCAAGCATGCATTCCACTTGTCAGCAAAGGGATGTTAGAGAAAATTATCAGATACACTTCATCCTAAAAATTTTCATCCAAGGAAGAGACCATGGGAACACATTGATAACCCTTCGCAACCTATTCCAGGGCTTTTCCTTCTTTGTAACTTTTGGCTTTTTCTTAGGGCATTTTTGGAATTAAATAGGACAAAGCTACTGCATTCTCGTGCTTGAACAAACAGAAAAGGCCTTCACTAATTGGGGAGAAAGAGAGAAGGAAAGAAAAGCTCTATAGTAGAAACTCGTGAAGCTTATCATATCCTTACCTGATTAATTACAGCAGGTTCCATTTGGCATGCGATAGTACGAGACCAGATAAGAGTGTACAACTTCAAAGAATCTTCATCAAGTATATTAACTAGCGATGCTACAAGACAATAAAAGAACATTAATAGCATGCCTCAATCTGTAACACATTAGTCAATAAGTCTTGGAAAGTTGGTAACATTACATGGCAACCTCCGGATATCAGTTGGTCTAATTGCTTCATGAGCTTCTTGAGCATTCTTCACCTTCTTAAAGTACTTGCGTGCAGCCTCTGCTGCAAAATCTGACCCATACCTACATTACAAAGCAATTTAAGCATATTAGACCTGCTATCTTCGTGGTTTTCATTAATTTCATAGTTTTATTTCACAATATCAAGGGCAAAAGGACACTATAAGTGCCATAACTTGTGTACGGAGATCACTTTGGTGCCATAACTTTTTTTCGGATCACTTTGGTGCCAAGTCGGAGGAAAAACGATCACTTAAGTGTCATAAGTTTTTTTTTTATCACTTCAGTGCTAAAATTTTTTAAAAACGATCACTTAAGTGCTAAAATTTTTTAAAAAACGATTATTTAAGTGCTAAAATTTTTGAAAAACGATCACTTAAGTGCCAATCTCCGGCGAGCCACGTCAGCTTCAGAAATTAATAAAAAAAATGCCACGTCGGATTTCCGGCGAAAAATTGTGTACGGCACCGGAGTTGGCACTTAAGTGATCGTTTTTCAAAAGTTTTAGCACATAAGTGATCGTTTTTCAAAAATTTTAACACTAAAGTGATCCAAAAAAAACTTATGGCACCAAAATGAGCGCCGTACACAAGTTATGGCACTTGTAGTGTTCTTTTACCCAATATCAAGAGTCAACTTGATGATTTAACTACACGCCATTCATTGGAACATCAAAAAATTTAGCGGACTGTCAAATTGCTGACACACACATGTGCATTACTTCCTAAATTCCTCCAGCATCATATACTTTAATACTTTCTCAGAACCAATTGCATGGTACAATATATTAATCTCCAAATGGTAAGGATGCTTTGGTGTGGAACAATGAAAGAGATTGAATCTTTTCTGTAAAGTCTTACTACAAGCTGCTAGATAGGGAGGTCGGCAGTGGTACAATGGATTGTCCTTGGAAAGCAATTTGGAAAGTGAGGGTTCTGGACAGAGTTTCCTTTTGTTGGTTTTTTTTTTTCTCTTGGGAAGCAACTTGAGAAGAATCCTTACTTTAGATAATGGTTTGGACGAGAATGGTCTGGACAATTTCCTATGCTTGCACAGGGTTAAGTTGAGTTATTTGAGGTTCCATCGAGCAAACTTTGGGCTTGGCAGGGCATTTGTTTACAGTGCAACAAGAAAAGAGGGATTATTTCAATTCCTCTCCCTCTGTTTTTTGGTTGATTTTGGAAGGCGTGGAACAAGAGAGCTTTAGATGGAGAGGAATCTTCCATTTCTTTTGTTATTGAAAATTGGCTTGAAAGTTGTACACCTTTGGTATAGCGGGTAATTGCAAAAGGATGTAAATTCCTTTGTCGATATAGCTCATGATTTATTTTGACAACTGTTTTGCATATAGCTTAAAGTTATACACTTTGGAGAACTCTTCTGCATACGGCTTTAGTTTTTTGGGCTTTTTGTATGAGGGTTTGCACCCCCTTAGTGCCTTATCATTGAACTTTTTATGTATAAAAGAAAAGGTAATAACAACCTCAAAACAATGAAATGACCACTATGCCGTGTGATAGAACCATGTGATAGAACCTCATATCACAGGTGGTTGAACATTAGTGTGACTCACACAAAAGCCAATAAGCCACTCTCTTAGAAATCAAAAAGAGTCATAAAATTAAAGAGCTAGCTAACAAGCCCCAAACAGATATCCGGTTCAAAAGCAACCCAGGAACCTGTATCAGTGTAAAACACATTAGAAAAGGCATCAACACTCGGATGGCTCATTTATAACTTCCCTTTAACTCCCGCAGACATATGCTTGGTAAAATGTCTTCCATGTGCAATACACTCTTTGACAAAGATGCAAATTTTTAGCCAATTGTTTGAAAAGTGGACCTTGATATGAGCGAAATCGACTGTAGGGTGACAACATCAGCATTTGCAAATTCAGACTGACTATATTTGCAGCAGCATCTAAATAACCAAATTGAGAGGAAATGAAACACGTTTTCAAACCTTAGAAAAACTTTTCGCACAAAGTCAACCACATAAAGCTTAGAGACTCTCCATCCCTTCGATTATACTATGTATAAGAAATAAAAACTAACCTAATTTAAACCCTTCCCTCCAAAAATAAGAAGTCAAGAAAACAAATCAAAATCCAGCTAATGCAATAGAAATAAGGAACCTTTGAAAATACTTCACACAAGACAGTTATTCAAGGACTTGAAACTCAAATGAAATTCCCCGTTAAACTTTTAACAAGATAAATGGTAGAAAACCAGCTTTCACCTATAATAAGTAATAATGAAGACCGCACATGCAAGATTCAACCTTTCAAATATTCTAAATGCAAAAATCATCATCTTACCTGTCAATCACCAAAGAGCGTATATCCTTCACAGCCTCCTCAGATATCTAAAACAAACTCAAAAAAGGTACTGTCAGAGCAAATTGTCAGAATCTGACCCCAAAGAAAGAACAATTTATCACAAAGATAAGCAAATAAACTAGACAATGCCAAATCACTAGAACAAAGGGAGTGCAGATGTGACATTCTGAAATCCGACCCACTTGGGATTTATGAAATTAGTAGTTTATGGACGTGCTTGTAGTTAGTTCTCATTCGGAACTGATCTTTTCTGGAATACTAACCATTAGGGAAAGGCTAATTAGGGATTTAAATTCGCGCGACCAAAGAACTCGATCGTGAACCGACCTTCGACCATGAAAATTGTCGAGGTGACATTTTGAGCCACTGTAGGCCGATCCAAGGATAGCCAGGGATCAGTTCGCCATTGTCATATTAGTGGATCGCGGGTGATTCCACCCGACCACGAAATGAATTGACGAATTGCCCCAAACCTATACCAAACGATCGTGCCTGTCGGATCTAGCGATCGATCCTCGCGATTAAGTGACAACCGAGATCGTCACAACCCGAGTAAACTTACACGTGGCATGATTCAGTATCGGCCACGGGTCAATAATGCGAATTTCCCCAAAAGCCGCCCATTAGTATGAGATATACACAAGTTACGTTGTTCAGAACTTAGTCATTAAATTAGAAACCGAGTTGGGCGTTGGAAATTCAGAAAGTCCCGACAGATCACTTGGACGATGTTGTCATTTGCCCGGGTAGCCTTGGATTTGCCCGAATCCTTCAGAAAAATTTAATTTCGGTGAGAAATGGCAAATGACCATTTTACCCCTGGAGATTTGTTAAGGCCAATGCAATTTGGGAGGGGCATTTTGGTAATTTTTCCTAGCCTTAGAATTAGAGAATTTTGGACAATTTTGCCCTTGGACTTTTTGAGAAATTCCCAAATTGCCCTTGGATATTTTGGAAAAGATTTGATCCGGGCCGTCGATCTAATGATAAGGATGAATCTCGGCAGTTGATTGGATTAGTGAGAGGGGGGCATGATGGTCATTTTGGCCCCTCAATTATTGCCTTGGACTATTTAGTCCAACTCCCTCTCTCTCTCCTCATTCCCTCTCCCTCACCTCTCTCGGCTCCCTCTCCTCCCTCATCGACCGACCGCCCTCCCCCTTGCCACGCCACCGCTGTCCGGCTGCCGTCCGCCCGATCGCCGCCGCTCGGTCACCGAGCCACACCACCACCCTCACGCCGCCGTCCCTCTCCCTCTCGGCGATCTCTCTCTCTCCTTGTGGCCATGAGTGAACCGCAGCCAAGGAACGCCGCTCACCGCCGCCCGCCGTCCAGACGAGCCGCTCGCCGTCGCCGATCCCCGCCGTGAGGCCGCTGTCCGCCGTCCCCCTTCCTACTCTAGCCGAGTTAGTCTAGAGTTCGGGTAAGTCACGCCCTAAACTCTATTTAGGACTTCGGATATCGACGGATGAATTAAGCATTAAATTGGATTGATTGGTGTCGGTTTTGTTGTTAATTGGGGTCGTTTAGGGGTTATGATGATAGACCGATTTTGGGACGCGAATTGGCTGAATTGTGGGCGAAATTGTGGTGATCCGGGACTGATTTGGTGGGAAGTTGAATGCTGGAAATTGGGGCTTGAAGTGAGGAGTATTCGGTCCAATTTAAGGACTAAATGGTATCGGGTTGAGGTGCCGTGTTGTGACGGGGTTGTAGCGTTTAATATGGCTTGAAATGAGCATGGAAATGTCGAAATTGTGCATGTGTACGTGGTTGTGTTTGTGGGCCCGTGAGTGGCCTTGTGTGTTTATTGTACAGTGATTTGATGGATTGAAATATGCTTTGTTATGTGCACGCTCGGGCCGAATTGAATTGATTGTCAATTGGCCGTGTTTGAATATCGATTGAGCATGAGAAATGCGTGGTTTGATGCGTGCACGGGCCAAGTGTGAATGGCCAATATGTTAAGCATGTGAACGAGTGAGAAAGTGTGTGTGGTGCGGTACGTGTGATAATGGAAATCCCTGAGGCGGTATCATTACGCGAGGAATTGATCCGTCCTGAGGCGGTACGACTACGCGGGACGATGCCCGGTATTACCGGAGGACGGCCAACCTGAGGCGGTACCATTACGCGGGTTGTGTCGTAGGTGGTGGGTGTTGAGCCTGAGGCGGTACCACTACGCGGGCAAGATACATGGCCTGAGGCGGTATCATTACGCGGGCCCTGAAGTGTTGTTTTGAGTTAGTCACAGTGAACCTGAGGCGGTATTACTACGCGGGTCACTGGCGAGTCAAGTATGAGTTAGTCGCAGTGAACCTGAGGCGGTACCATTACGTGGGTCACTGGCGAGTTGAGTGGAAAGGAATGTGATGAGGTAGGAACGAATGTATGAGACGTAATTAGTACGTGCATGTGATTGGAAAATATTACCATTGTGGCTAACGTGCAGGTTGCATGCTGGAAAGGCCCAGGTAAGTATTAATTGTGTGCCTGCTGTGTGATGGTTGAGTGTGGTTGTGGTTGTGATTGTCTGGAGGTACGTGATAGCCTAGGTGGGGTATAGGGTGTGTGCTTACTGAGATGTGATCTCATGGTTGTTTCAACCAAACATTTTAGAACCCGGCCGGAGCAATGAATCTTCCACCGCCGCCACCCGAGCGTTTTGGAGTACCGATGCACACCGACCATAATGTCGTAGAATATCCTATAGATGATCATATAACCCGAGTTAAGCACACTATCGTAGTCTGGGTAGGCATAGAGCGATCTGATGATGAGTCAGAGGAAGAGCCAGATGAGGAGTTCGAAGAGGAAGAGCGAGTCGAGGTTCCAGCGGAGTCGAGTGATATAAACAACCCGATCGAGATCGAGACCGAGCCGAAGTCCTCAAAGGAGCAGATAGTTCAAGGGGATTCAGATTCGGATGAGGAAGAATCAATTTCTGAGTGGAAGCCAAGCAGAGGGCGTAGGGGCTAGTGTAGGGGTTGTGAATAGGCTTTTTGGAGTGTACCATTTTTGGTGATAGGATATCCAGGCTATCGATCCTTTTTTACGTCGGTAGTCAATAGTGTAGAAGTCGGTGTGCTTGTGTATAATGTGGTTTGTAAATTGTGAATATTGTATAAGTTTGGATGAGCAATGGATGTGTTGAATCTCCCCTGTTTACCCTAGTTCTTTTTGTCCGGGTATTAATTGTGGCTTTCGCTGATTGATAAATCACCGCATGAGTATAATTGGGTCGGCGATACCCTGGGACATCGTATTATTCGACCTGAGAGGGATGTCGCATGCTCGATAGGGTTCGGGGCGTGACAGCAGATGCCAATTGACTGAAATATTACAATCTGAAGCACAAGCTCCTTAATAGTTCAAACTTGAATCAAGACAAAAATAAATGTAAAACAGCTAAGCACAAAATATTGCACAAGGTCCATTAATATGGTATCTCCGGGCTGAAGTTCTATATAAGCTGAGTTTCGAATTTGAAACGTGAGAACATGACTTCGAGTTGGGAGAATAACTAAATTTGATACCATGTAGCACGTAAGATTTTGGTTGGGGGGAAGACATTTGCCTCTCTAGAAGATATAAGTCTTTTGCAATGAAAAGAAAATAAAAAAGTAATAAAATTCCCAAGTAAATCTCCAGTCCCACTTTTGAATATATATATTTTGACACCCTCTTAAAATTAATTTCCTCAAACGGATCAGCACCCCCTTGATGGCCTTTCCATGAAACACCTACCCTCCTCTTTTTCCCTTTCTAAACAGGAGATGAAAGCCACAACGTCACAAAAACTCAACATGGATTATCCCATTGGAACCAAAACTTATTCACAGGCCAAGCTTCGATGACATACTTTCCCGGTTTTGCAAAAGAATAAAAATCTAGCCAGAAACATATCAAAACTTGTATGTAAAAGTACAAGGACTTTTATTTCGGAAGGGCAACACAAATGCACAAACCAAAGACAAGTATGATAATCCAAAAAACTGTCAAGACATCAAATCCACTATGAGGCAGCAAGGGGTGCCAACCCATGTAAACAAAGATCTCAAAGCCAAAATAAGAGCTCAATGTTGAGCCAAGGTTGGAAGAACCTTCCGCACTGTACAAAAAGTGTGGAACTTCAAACCAATGTCCAACAAGTGCCTGGACAGTGTGAGAATGAGCTGTAAAATATATTTATGATTGTAATTAGCTAGAATCAAGGATTATAGTTAGCTAGTTTAGAGGATATATTTTTTAAGATTCTTTCTTTTCTTTGTATATATATACGCTTCTAGGTCATTGTAAACTTAATAAGAAGAAATACAGAAAAGTGAGGAACGTGGTTTTTTCTTCCTCGAAATATCATTGTGTTAACATGGTATCAGAGCCAAGGGTTTGCTCTTTGTGAGTACTGTACGTGAATCCTCGATTACGGCGGTCCTGCTCGCCGGGGAGTGGGCTGGGGGTGCCCCCGAAAATTTTTTTTTTTTCTTTTTCGCTCGCTTTCTCTATTGCGTCGTTCGGCGTGCGTCCTACTCGATCTTCTTCATCTTTGTCACGATTGTTTTTGGATCCATGGAGGATCAGAACCCTACCGGAGCAGTGATTCCCCATCAGAACCAAGGGGGGAATTCGACCACGGAAGCTTTTTTGGAGAATCTGACTGCCAGATTAACTCAGATTCTCACTCAGAACCAGACGCACCCTCCTCCTCCATCACCAACACCGCAGAATGATTCGGCTTCATCTCAAATTGCAATTAAACTGGATGGAGCCAACTATGGATTATGGTCTCAGGTTGTCGAGATGTACATCACTGGTAAAGACAAACTGGGATATATCAATGGAGACCTTCCTCAGCCACTGCCTACAGATCCTGGCTTTCGGAGGTGGAAAACAGAAGACTCGACTGTGAAAGGATGGCTTATCAACTCCATGGATTCGGCGTTGATTGGCAATTTCATTCGCTTCCCAACAGCGAAATCTGTCTGGGATGCAATTGCAACGACTTTCTTTGACGGAACGGATGCCTCTCAGGTTTATGACTTGAAGAGGCGTGTTGCTCGGATGCGACAAGGAGGAGGACCAATTGAGGCGTACTACAACAACCTTCAAGGCTTGTGGAGAGAAATCGACTTTCGCCGTCCGAACCCAATGCGGTATCCTGAAGATATTGAAAGATACAATATGGCTATACAGGAAGATCGCGTATACATATTTCTTGATGGGTTGGACGACCGTCTTGACAAGGTTAGAGCAGATGTTTTGCAGATGCAGCCGTTTCCTACTGTGAAGAAGCCTACGCGCGTGTCCGTCGAGAAGACATGAGACAAACTGTAATGCTGACCAACAGCGACACGGTCCATGATTCGGCAGCCATGGTATCTCGGGGGAATAGGACGAATGTCAAAACAAATCAAGAACCGCTATTGCAAATAGCGAAGCCAGGAGTTACGCAGGAAGGGGGAAAGCCTAGCTCGGCACTACGCCAGAAAATTTCTCCGGGGGGAGGTTGCTCGAATTGTGGTAATTCTAAGCATACCAGGGAGACGTGCTTTAAGCTTCATGGGTATCCAGATTGGTGGAAAGAGTTGAAAGCTCGAAAGCAAGCAGAAGGAAAAGGGAAAGCTTCTTTAGCAACTGCTGAGCCTCAACTGTCACTGATACCTCACGTTGATCCTCAGAATTTGATGTCAGGAGGTAACCATGGAAGTGCTTTGGTTAGTTCTAATCAGATTGATTGCAATCACTGGGTTATTGATTCGGGAGCTACTGATCACATGACATTTACTCCTGATGACTTTGTTCATACTTCAAAACCAAGACGTGACAGTATCTCAAATGCTAATGGATACACCTATCCGGTGACTGGGGCTGGAGTTGTTGCGATTTCTCCTGCTTTTTCTCTTCCTAACACCTTGCTTGTCCCTTCATTATCGACCAAATTGATTTCGGTAGGACAAGTTATGAAGATTTGAATTGTGCTGTTATAATGTATCCCCACTTTTGTTTGTTTCAGGATATTCTCACGAAGGAGATAATTGGGCGTGGTACTAAGAGAGGGGGGCTGTATTATATGGATGACTTCAGTTCCGGGAGTGCAAATCATGCTAGCAAGACATCCATCAAGTAGAGAAAAACATATTTGGCTTTGGCATCGACGGTTGGGACATCCGTCATTTGGTTATTTGAAGCGATTATTTCCTGAATTGTTTTTGAATTTGAAGGATTTAAATTTGCAATGTCAGACTTGTATATTGGCTAAGAGTCATAGAGTTCCTTTTCCTATAAGTTTGAATAAAAGTGAAGCTCCTTTCTCTTTGATACATTCAGATGTTTGGGGTCCATCTCCTATTACTGCTGTTTCGGGTTGTAGGTGGTTTGTGATATTTGTTGACGATTGTACTAGAATGACATGGCTTTTCTTGATGAAAAGTAAGAATGAGGTAGCCAAGATATTTAGAAATTTTCATACTATGTTACAGACCCAATTTAGTGGACAGATCAAAGTTCTAAGAAGTGATAATGGTGGGGAGTACATGAATGAATACCTTAAGGAGTATTTTCAACAACATGGCATGATTCATGAGTCATCTTGCTCTCAAACACCTCACGCAGAATGGTGTGGCAGAGAGAAAGAATAGACATATCCTTGAGACAGCTCGAGCTCTGTTGATTGAAAGTCATGTGCCTCAGAGATTTTGGGACAATAGTGTGACTACAGCTATCCATCTCCTCAATCAGATGCCGTCTAAAGTGTTAAACTTTCAAACACCACTACAGACTTTGTCCACATATGTGCCTTTACCTTCAGTCCTGACCATCCCTCCTCGGGTGTTTGGGTGTGTTGCATTTGTTCATATCCCAAAGAATCAGCGAACGAAACTTGATCCTTGTGCACTACGATGTCTGTTCTTGGGGTATGGTACACACCAGAAGGGATATCGTTGCTATGACCCTTCTACCCGGCGAACCTATGTGACTATGGATGTCTCGTTTGTGGAAGCTGAATCTTTTTATCCGAGTTCCCATTCTTCCTTTCAGGGGGAGATACAGATAGAAACGGCGAATTGGTGGGAGTTTCCTGGTAGTATATTATCTGGAGGGGTGGAGAAAGTATCGTCTGAAGGGGCGGAAGAGCATGGTAGTATATTATCTGGAGGGGTGGAGAAAGCATCGTCTGAGGGGACGGAAGAGGCATCGTCTGGGGGTGTGGAAAGACGATGTCTGAGGCGGTGGTATCGTCTGAGGAAGTAGAAGAGGTATCATCTGAGGGTGGCCAACTTCTACAGGAGCAAAATCATGAAGAACAGCTTCCCTCTTCTCCAGTACCCGACTCAACTCCTGAGAATATTCCTGAGGTAACCTCTCCTACTCCTTCTTGTATCTTTGATGAGCTTAATACTTCTGTGGGATATAAATTACCTACTAGACACAATCGAGGTAAGCCTCCAAATAGATATTCACGGATCTGCAAGAGAAGAGATGTACATATCCTATTGCAAATTATGTGTCAACCAAAAGGTTGTCGTGCCCAAGAAAGGCATTTATATCGAACGTGTCCGCAGTTCGTATTCCAGAAGGGGTACAGGATGCTCTGAAAGATCCCAAGTGGGTTCAAGCAATGGAGGAGGAGATGGCTGCATTGAAAAAAAATGAGACCTGGAAGCTAGTAGATTTACCCAAGGGAAAGAAGACTGTGGGATGTAAGTGGGTCTTTTCTGTGAAGTACAAAGCAGATGGATCGATTGAGAGGTACAAGGCAAGACTAGTAGCAAAGGGGTATACGCAAGCTTACGGAATTGACTATCAAGAGACATTTTCTCCGGTTGCTAAACTTAATATTGTTCGGGTCTTGTTGTCTCTTGCTGCTAATTTAGACTGGCCACTACACCAGTATGATGTCAAGAATGCATTTCTTCACGGTAATCTCGAAGAAGAGATTTATATGGATGTTCCGCCAGGTTATTCTTCATCCTCACAGCCTGAGGCGGTGTGTAAGTTAGAGAGATCATTGTATGGTCTGAAGCAGTCTCCACGAGCATGGTTTGGCCGGTTCACTTTGGCGATGAAGAGGTATGGATATTCCCAAAGTGACTCAGATCACACATTGTTTCTAAAACAACATCAAGGGAAGGTTACAATGTTGATTATCTATGTTGATGATATGATTATCACTGGAGATGATTTGATAGAAATATCTAAGCTTCAAGAGAAACTTTCTGAGGAGTTTGAGATGAAAAATCTTGGGGGGTTGAAATACTTCCTAGGGATTGAAGTAGCGAGGTCGACAGGGGGAATATTTCTCTCACAAAGAAAGTATGTGCTAGATTTATTGGCGAGAGGTGGGAATGTTGATCGCAAACCCGGCAGACACACCAATTGTTCGTAACCATAGACTTGGGGAGTATCCAGATCAAGTGCCAACAAATAAAGAAAGATATCAAAGGTTAGTTGGCAAACTAATTTATCTGTCGCATACTCGTCCTGATATTGCATATGCGGTGAGTATTGTTAGCCAGTTTATGCATGCCCCAAGTGAAGATCATATGAATGCAGTGTTGCGTATACTTCGCTACTTGAAGTCTTCTCCAGGACGCGGTTTGAGAGGTTCTTAAAAAGGGGTCATCTTGAAATCGAAGGATTTATCGACGCGGATCGGGCCGGAGTGTTCATGACCGAAGATCAACTTCGTGGATACTTCACTTTTGTGGGAGGAAACTTAGTTACTTGGAGAAGCAAGAAACAGAAAGTAGTAGCATTATCAAGTGCAGAGGCTGAATTTAGAGGGATGGCCAAAGGGGTGTGTGAGCTCCTATGGCTTAAGAAGTTAATGTCAGAGATTGGGTTCGCTCCTAAAGCCGAGATGAAGTTGTTCAGTGATAACAAAGCAGCAATTGATATCTCTCATAATCCAGTTCAACATGACCGTACCAAACATGTTGAAGTGGACCGTCATTTTATCAAGCAAAACTTGGACGCCAAAGTGATTCGATTTCCATTTGTACGATCTGACGATCAGTTGGCAGATATTCTGACGAAGGCTGTATCAAGCAGGATCTTCTACAGCTCACTTGACAAGTTGGGCATTCACGACATCTATGCACCAACTTGAGGGGGAGTGTGAGAATGAGCTGTAAAATATATTTATGATTGTAATTAGCTAGAATCAAGGATTATAGTTAGCTAGTTTAGAGGATATATTTTTTAAGATTCTTTCTTTTCTTTGTATATATATACGCTTCTAGGTCATTGTAAACTTAATAAGAAGAAATACAGAAAAGTGAGGAACGTGGTTTTTCTTCCTCGAAATATCATTGTGTTAACAGATAGAAGACACTTTTTTCCTTCAAAAGACATCTTTTCCATTCTTCTCCGACCAACCAAAACCATAGAAAGAGGAATTGAAGAGACCCACTTTATGATAAGATATTTGAATACCTTGCCATGCCCATAATTCATGCTCAACAGATCTCACTATAACCCAGCTTAGCAGAGCCATAAGCAGTCTAAAATAGAACCGGCAACAACACTACCAGAAAGAAAGTTTAGGGGCATCAAAAGTTACAAATGACCAAAGTACGAGGATGTTCCAACACTTCACCCCAACATCAGTGCACATTATCACTGCCATGAAAAAATAACCGATCCTATCTCCTTCACTTCCCCAGAATAACACATCATTAAGTCTCCGAAGATGTCACTTTTGTTTTTCAAAGATGTCACTTTCAACATTTACGTAAGCAACCAATATAAAAAGTCCACACTATGGGTCGAGTGCTTACCTGCTAAAAGGGGCTGAACGTAACTGTCAGTAAATATCAACAAGTAATTTCAAAGAACAACAGTGTTGGCACTAGAGTATGTAAAAGCAACCAATTAACTTCATGACAATCTTACAGAAAGAACAGCACCTACATGTAAACCATCAGTTCTGATGTATGTTATCAAACCAACTGCCTTGCCATCTGATAACTGTACCCCTTCGTAAAGCTTTTGTGCAAGCTGCATTCAAGAACTAATGTGAATACCATGATTAAAGCAGCTCCAATCATTTTGTTATTTAAGAACAAACTCATTCTGTTTCTATTTTCACTTTTAACCAACCAATAGGCGAAGTAGAGTTTTGGACTTCTAGAGTTAGGGAAAAAATCACACATACTCTCAAATCATAAAGTTTTTTAAAATAACAAAACATTATCGATGACAAACACTTGAAAATGAAATTCCAACTTAGTTGTGGCACTCGATAATAAATGTCTACAAAAACTACATATTATGAGATAGAAAATGTTCGTTTAGTAAAAGTGTTATCTTTTATTAGCCAAATTCATTTTCTTATTGGTGAATATGGTTATCAATAATAGAATGTTCAGAGTGATATTAGGACTTTGTAAAACAAGAAGAATCATATGTCTTCTCTAAAATCATTAGTCCGATAAAAATACTGCAGTCGGAGGGAAAGAGAGAGAGAGAATCTCATTATACATAACTTCAACTAAAAAAAATGAAAAAGATTAACTTTAAGTTAGATTCAAAATTCAAATTCATGAGTCTTCATTTTTTTAGCATAATTCTCTTAGAATATAGATGAGTAAAATGCTAAAATCTGATAATATAAGTGCCAGCTTGTAAAGTAAAATGAGATTGAATAGAAGAAGAGATACAAACAATAAAGTAAAAAATGGAAAAAGAAAGAACAAAAATCAATTCTCCCCGCACTTCTGCTGTCACTCATGTGTAAAGGCTCGGTCAGACCGGGCCGTCTACCTTCTTTAGCAACTTTTGCACGACCTATAAAATAGCTCATGTGGTTTGGCAGCCAGCCAAAGAGTGACAAGTCATTTACTCTAAGAGAGTCTTCAGCAGGGATCACACTTTAGTGTTTCATGGATGCGAAAACATATTAGCCTTCAAATCAATCTCTCGGATACTCAGGCAAGCAAACAGCTGAACCCTTCCACATGTATTACTATCCACAGCATCATTTCCCCAAACTAGGCTTAAAATTTATGCACTTGGAATTAAAACGCATGCTTCTTAACTTTCAAAAACTGTTTTTGCTGGTCAAATTATGCATGCATCAGTTGAGAAGGTCATCAGGATTTTAAGAAACAAACCTTCATAGTGTATGTGGCTGGAAAATGTAATTTATTGGCAGCATCTTGCTGAAGAGTCGACGTGATGTAAGGTGTCGAAGGATTCCTTCTCATCTCGTTACTTTTAGAGGCAACAATTTTGAAACCTTCAGATCTAATCTTCTCTTCAATATCTTTTGCCTCTATATAGGAACCAACTGACAACTGGTTCAATTTTGTCGAAGCAAAATATGTCAAGCGGGATGGGATAGAAATGGATTTGAGGGAAGGATCCAAACTTCTTCTCTCAAAGTCAACCTCCAAACTCCAATACTCTTGTGGAACAAACTGGTCAATTTCCATTTCTCGATCACAAACAAGTGCTAAAGTAGCAGATTGGACTCGCCCAGCTGACTGGCAACCTGGTAGTTTCCTCCATAATATAGGAGAAATATTAAAACCAATCAGATAATCTAGAGCACGGCGTGCAAGGTAAGCATGCACCAAGTTTGCATCTATTTCTCTTGGTGCCTTAAGAGCAGCCTTGATGGATGATTCAGTTATCTCATGAAAAACAACTCTTGCTATAGTCATGTCATCACGTAAAGCATGCTCTCGATAAGCTTAAATCATCATTTATGCATTTTACTTGGCCGATGAAGCTCTCTCTTTGTCCAATCAAATATCTCTTCTTAGCTACTCATATTAAGCTCTCTCTTTACACCTAGTTTTTTTAACCCAAGGTCATCATTACTTTAACATTGTTTATTTGTCCTAATCTCTTAGTAAGTTATAAAAAATCTTCATCAAGTAAACCAAATGTGGCCGTGTGTTTTTATTTTTTTACGTAATTTTGATCACTTGTCGATTATACATACTTATCGATTATACCCACCGGTCGATTATACCCACTTGTTGGCTATACCCACTTGCCTATTATATACACTTGTTGGTTATACCCAATTGCCAATTATACCCAACTTTCGATTATACTCACTTGTCAATTATACACATTTGTTAATTTTACCCAATAATTGATTTTGATCATTTACCGATATTGATAGGATTGCTTGACTAAAGCCTTTTATTACATTGAAAATAGCATGATGAGAAGAAAATGAGGGTATATGTGTTGAAGTGCATGTAATTATTGTTTGCATGAGAAATGAAAGAAGTTAAACATGTCATTATCATTACCCATGTATGTGATCAATGAAAGGCATGATGAGAATGAAAGGAGGTGAGTATGTCATTATCATTATCCGTGGATATGATTACTGAAATGTTAAGGTAATTGTATATCAAAAATGATTGCATGAAAAGATATTGTGTACTAGATGTTGATTATTGAAAAATAGTGTTGATTTTGTTGTTGATGCAAGGAAGATCATATGATTATAATGTTATCATGTGCAATGCTACTATTTGATTAAATATGAATTGTATTGTGTTAAATTGTTCTGTTGCCCCTATATTGGTGGTAACGATGCTTTGGAGTTGAGATGCCCTATAAGTGTTTGGGAGCCTCGAGAGTCGAGATATCCTGTCTATTAGGATGCCTAGGAGTTGAGAGATCCCGTGTGTTGGGATGCTTTAGGAGTATTCGGGATGATATGAAATAATGAATATGATGCATGTCTATGTGCACACATGTCCATTAATAAACTAGTTGGTGATAATCGTGCATCATAATATGTTATGCTATCCTCTTGCATTTGAGTGAACCATCTTGTGCAATGTTATTAATGGTTTTCATTGGCATATCATAATAGGAAAACTAAAGCATTTGTTTTTGCATTTGTCATACATAGTGATTTTGTACTTGTCTTGAATTCACGTTTGTTTGTTGGTACCAGCTTAAGTGACAAGAGAATACCCTACCTTAAACTTTGAGATTTCATTTACTAAGCTTTGCTCATTCATTTATTTTTTTTAATTTGTAGGACAAATCACCCTCTATTGTTGTGGTTTGGAGTTACCATGTATTTTGATTATGAATATCAAGATGTGCTTATACCTGAATCGGCAGTAGTATATACTAAGTGTAATTCCATCGTGTGGGTCAATATGGGGCTTAAAGAGTGGATTCCCCATTGATTTGTTGCTTGGTACTAGAATATCGACGATAAGCTAGTTGGACTTTTGAGGGCTTTTGTTAGTGACGATGATGTATCGATAGCAAAGTTGTCAATCCATAGCAAATAACTTGACCTTTGTACATGCAAGTTTTTGGGCGTAGGAGTGGTATGTTAGTAATAGGTGACCCTTACTCTTTTTAGGACTTATGTATTGTATTTGTCTTTGCTTGGCCATTGTATTAAGATACTAACTACCAATATTTTTATAAAAGATGAAACATATGTACAATAATTAAACCCGTGTCATTTCTTCTATGGGATGTGGTGAATTTTTTTTTTGGTGCTTCCGTATGTTAATAATAACTACAAGTTATAATTAGGATAAGATACATGTTGCACGTGACTTTTTGAGGCATTACAGCTCAAACAATGAGAGATTTCTAGCAAGCTTTTAGGATGGCGAAAGGGGTTAAAATGAACCAAATTACACACCGAAGAGGAGAAGAGCATATGCCTGCCATATATATATATATATATATATATATATATATATATATGTGTGTGTGTGTGTGTGTGTGTGTGTGTGTGTGTGTGTGTGTGTGTGTGTGTGTGAAAATTAAATTTGACTCACAAAGGCACCTTTTGACGTAATAGCAAGTTTAGTATTAGAACTTTAATGTTATGTGTGCTTAGGGGGAGCTGACAAAACCATAAGACTTAATGTAGCACAGACAAAGCAGACAATATCTCGAGTGAGTTAATTTAGAAATGTCACAAGTGCCCTTCAAAATAAGATGAAAGGAAGCATCTCCTCCTTAAATATCTTTCTATGCTTTGTTTCTAAGAAGGGGAATGACGAGATGAAAACAATTTTGTAAACAGTTTTAAAATACTTCCATCTACTTGTTCACAAAAAAATTAAGAAGATCTTGAAATATTCCTCCCTCTCCTTTAAGCAAGATAGTTCATTAAGGTAAAAAGTACAAAAGTTCCTACACAAATGGAAACTGAAATTTGGAGGATGTTAGAAATATATATTTAGGAGATTTTCTGCATTCTCTTTGATTATCCATAACTTTTAGCATTGTAAATAAATCTCTCTTGATGGTATTTATCCATATTGATTATAATTGATATCAAAATGTTTTATTATCATAAATAATCATCTTATATAGGCTCGTGTACTTTTATTATAAAACACCAAAATATAAAAAGTCATCCAATTCTCTCTTATGCATATTCTTATCTTGTTAGTAGAGCGAAGCAATTCTTGGGAAATTTTGCATGCATATTGCACCCGGTTGCGCACCCGGAGCATGCTTGAAGCACAAATCACATCTCATGTCATTCTCCTTTTCAATTATGACTAACATCCGTCACAACATTATGTTGTTGTATAACTTGCATAGAAGCCACGACAACACATAAGTGTTACGTCAGCTTTTTGTTATGTAGCCTGCACGAATCAACAAGTTCTCTTTTCAGCACACTAAGCCATTTCGACAATCTACCTAGGCATTTTTTTTTTGTTCTTCAAACTACAATTGATTTCTCCAAGATGTTAGAGAATCTAAGAGATTTTCCATATCTTATTTGATTCTCCATAACTCTCAGAAATGTGTATATACACATATCTCCCTGGATTGTACATATCTTCAATTGATTATAATTGATATCATAATATTTTATTATCTTAGTGTTGAAACCAAAAAATGACCAAATATTTCTAATTGACATGACGATTAATGACACGTCACATCGCTAGCCGTCCTACGTGGCACACCGCAAATCGGCAATTTCCGAAAAAATGGCTGAAATGACTATATCGAAATTTCACGTAAATGTTCATAACTAAATTGACAAAATTTGTAAGTTTATGACTGAATCGGCACCTGTTCAATATGCCTAGTATCAATTGGATAATTTCTCCCTCAAATGAAATAAAACCTATGTACAATATAGTTAGAATTCTCAAAATAAGTAAACCCATTGAGGTGTTGTCATGTACCTTAATCTTAGGATCCCCATCATTTCTATTCTCCCCACTCTAAATAAGCCGGCAATACTAGAAGTGAAGTAGCCTCAATATTTGACTGAGTGGTTCACTAATCGTGTCATAATACACCACCTCGGTTAGGAATCAAATATGCCAACAGAACAAAAAAAAAACATGTACAAAATAGCAGTTAACACTCTATCACATGGGTCCACAGGAGACTTTATTACACAGCATCGGGAGCAATCTAAATCGTCGTCGGATCACGTGAGTTCCAAAAGTGGGTCTTTATGATTCGATGGATCACATATAATTAAGTCTACATACATCATGTGCAACTAAAAATTTTCCGGGTCTATACTAATATAACAAAAATTAGCACTCAAATAATTCCACTGCCCATTCAAGTTCAAACACAGCAGCACACATTTGGAGGTCCTATCCTTTTGATGCACATGAAACATTGCATAGCTGGTTCAAAGTAAAGGCACGCTTATTTCGCGGAAAATGAATAATTTAAAAAATGTGTTCGTAAAAATGATCGCTCGTATCGCTCGCAATAAAGAATGAACGAAAAATATTTTCAACATTCACGAAAATATTTAAACATAAATTTTTATCGATAATGAAAATATTTTTCACGAATTAATTATTTTAAACGATCATTTTTACAAAACGAACTCTCATAGATAATCAATCGCTACACTGTTAATCAAGTCTACCATTTATAAAATCCAAGACCAAATATAAAAAATTTCTCTCAGGTCAACTTTTAAGACACCTCTTGTATTTCTTTCCTCCTCCACCCCCACCTATCTTAAAGTTGCTACCAGAGACAAAATATAGTCAAGTCAAAAAGCAGTACTTATTGGTCCAATGAATTGTAATGAACCAAGATCGACCTGCCCACCGTACCCTCATAAATATTTCCATAATGACCATCTGAGGATGAGCCTTAACTTAAGAATCAAGTCAGAAGCTTGTCCTTATCCAATATAATACAGAGTTCAACTTATAGACTCAATGTCTGACTCATCGTCGCATCACCCGACTTCAATGTGTTCAGATTCATTTTACGTCCATTCCGACCCATGCCAAGCCACGTGTAAGAGGACTCGATTCGATTAAGGCAACCTTAACACCGCCATCCAACGAGACCATCTACGCCGTCGATCGCAGAAGATCGAGGAAAACATCGACGAACTCGGATTGACTAAGGCACCAAAACTTATACATGTGATCGGTCTATAAGGCTACATGATGATATATAACGGTTTAGGACAATTTATCGCAAGCCAGTGTTACTCGTAGAAAATAGAGAAAATTGGAGAACAGGCTAAAAACCATCGTAGCACGTTGCACGCACTAACAACACATTGAGAAGCACGAGACCTGTTCCCAGACCAAATAGGAATCTAAAGGGTAGACCATCAGAGTATCGAATTCAACATAAGAAAGTTCATGTCAAACCAAATCTATGACAACAATATCCATAGAAAAGCATGACGCTGACGCAACAACGGCCCGACGATATTTTACCGGATGTCACCAAAGAGAAGACACGGGCCGACGCTAGAAAGAAGAAAGTACCATTACTTTATTGTGTTGAAGCTCAAGCTGACTTCAACTTACGCAATAACTTAAAGTCTTCTATCTCATTCTTCAGACCGCTAAAGCATATGGAACTGCACATACTCAGTTCCAGACACATCAATTTGCTCAGACTTGACCACATCACATCACTCTTCATGGCATTATCCTCATCAAATAGCATCGTCATAGACCAGAACCAGAGTCGTAACTGGAGCTCTCTAGTTTCTGACAGGCCGATCCAATATAATGCATCCCACGTTGGAAGCTGACAACACCAGAGAGATGGCAAAACTCATCACATTCCATTGGACAGAAGCCGTCATGACAAGGTAGTCGAACAGCGGGCACCCCATCCATACTCCATCGACTCTTTAGATTATATAAGAAGCCCCAACAACTGATGATCTCGCTATCCAACATATCTTCACCATGATTACCAGAAGATGCACCGCATAAAAACCTGGCATTTTAAATAAGTCCAACTTCCTCAAGATCAACTTCTGCTTCAAAGCTTGGTTTACTGTGCAACTGATACAAGAGCAGTCCAAGTCAAGAAGAGAACAAACTCAAACAAAGAAAAACGGAACAATGCTTGCTATACTAAGATTGGTCCACAAAATTGATACACTAATGCTCAGTTTGGAAAGCTAGAGAAAGGGGAGGACTGAAAATCCGTGTTGAAAATTTCAAAAGTTACTAAAATTTTTGACAGGTAGAGGAGGAGATTTAAAAATTTTCCCCATAATCTTCATCCCTCCACCTTCCTTTAGCTTTCCAAAAAAAAGCCCAAGACATGTGGCAAACTCGTTGGATATTGAATATGACTCGTTAGTTTCAAACGCCACAGGCAGTCCATCACAGCTATTAATGTACCAATTGTGGGAAGAAGTCTTAGTAGACCTTCTAATGAATAAAAGGCATGCAATACATTAAATCAAGAAAGCCATCTCTTTGTCTAACCATAAGGAAAGACAGAGGAAAAAGAATGCTCTGGCCAAGCAACTGCGTAAAACAAATGCAACAAGTTCTAATTTGTCCTGTGCATAAACCATGCCGGCATCATCCACTCAGCATGCAAAACCTTGTTTCCCATGGCATTTAGTTTTTCCTTGGACGTCAATTCACAATATCCCGTTAGTATAGTTGATTGTTCAGAAAACTGATATGGCCTGTCACAGATATTGCCTAATATTAAACCAAAAAACTATTTCCCCCTATCTCTCTCAGATTTTTATTGTTATAATTATATATCTATATGTGGGGGGGAGGGGGGGTGGTTTGTTAGAATGTGGGGAAGCAAAATAATTTGGGAGAAAGAAATCTCACTTGCTAAGTACAACTTCCCATCTAAAAGCCAAAGCCACCCATTCTCCAACACAAACTTAGCATTGACAGGTCCACCTAACTGGAGTTTAATAGGGCAGAAGAAGGGTGAGGGTATTCACCAATATCATTCCTGATAAGAAGAAGAAATTATCAGGTTAGCTCTAAGTAAGTTTAGCAGATCGACAACAAACTCCAACGGTTAATGAAAGGTTCATCATACCACAAGATGCTGTCACATTGACCTCACACAAGATGACGACCTGTCCATGATCCTTGGTACTGCCCTGGCAAAGGACCAAGATGCGGGTTCCCGTCAATTATTTGCTGAGGTTGCTGCATCTGCTTCTCATGTTGTAGGTTTAGAGGCTCCAAACTCTCATAATCTTGCCAGCCTTTCTGAAATTCCATTTGGTGGGCTGTAGGGACCTGCTTTCCAGGAAATGGGAAGCTGACTGTCCCAACTGAAGCAGCACTGCTAGTTATCTGTGGGGAGTTTGGATGAGATGGATAACTTATGGAATTATTCCCGATGCCCTTGATAGCTGAAGATATCTGATACCCATCCAACCAGCTATAGTCATCCAACATTTGATTCTGACCAGTCAAGTCTAAACCCGATATGGGTCCATGGGTTTGCTTGGGAACAGCATTAAAACCGGGGGGAGGACCAAGATGTCTGTGGGGCCGAGCAACGGGATTCTTCTTCAAACCTACAGGAAAAGCAGATGATGGTTTCACAGTCAAAGCATCAACACTCACTCCCGAAGAATTGGAAGCATTATATCCGGATGAAGGAACCACAGCTTCTGGAGCATTTGCCTGATTCAGAAAAAAACCATTGCTATTAACAGCAGGCTGTTTGATGGAAACTGAATGGGCCACAGGAAAAAAGTTGACAGTGCTCTCTTTGATCTCAGGTTGTGCAAGATACCCATTCCCTTGCATCCTTAGATCTTTGAAGCTATTGGACAATAAAGTTTCTTCTGTCAACCAATTTGAAGTATGTGAATTGATAGGTTGCAGATTACCAGCAGAAATGGGGTTCCATGAAAAAGCATCTGAAGTAGTCACATGAAGAAAATTATCAAGAGGTGCCGATGTAGAAGCAATTGACAAGGGTTGATGAGTTCCCAAGTCAGTCTTATGGGGCTCCAACATCCCCAAAGGAACGAAATTTTGAACAGCAGTATCCGTTTGCTTCTCTATTGCTGTAGGCTGAAAAACAATCTCTTCATCCTCGTCTTCCCCTTCCACATATAGCTGAGAATTCGAGAGAGGTTCTACAAATTTTACAGAAGTATGTCCTCCATTTTCTAGCACCAGATCATTTGTCTTAGGAACATTAGAAATGGGAGGAATGAGGTCTTCTCCTGACATTTGAGACTCAACACCAATAACAAATTTCTTTGCCTTTGAGTCATACAAAACCGTTTTGTCATTGATTTTAACCACACCAACAAGCGCTTTCCCTGCGGCAAGAGTTCTTTTCATGCGAGCACTTTTTTCCTTGTGTCCTTCACTTCCAAAAGAATGCTTCCTTGTAAAATCTAAAATGGTTTGTGCAGGAACAAGAGGCAGAAATCCTCTTAACTCAAAATCTTCCCACAAAGCAAGCCAGTTTCCAGTTTCTCCTTCTTCATATTTGCTCATGTTACCAAAACAACTTTCATCTTCAAAGTCATCTATGGACATCAACCCCATTGACAAGAGCTTATTCATAAGAGAGACATAATAACTCCAGAAATTTGATCTAGCAGTTGCTTGCTTCTCATCCTCGTCGCCACCTGTGGCAACGTCAGGATAAGATGCCAACCATTCTACAAAAACCAAAATGCCAGGTAAGAGATAACTCAAGGAAGGATCATGAACTTGTTCACATCTCTCCATGACATGCCCCATGATCTCAAAAACTGCAGTGAATGCATTTTGAAGCAGCACAGCACGCTGAACTAGTTCTGCATAAGTCTGGCCTTCGCTCTCACGTTTCACATTATGAATGGTAAATATAAGAATAGCCACGATTCTGACAAAGAAAAGTCCATTCTCGAAAGCATCTTTTCCAAAATTCATCTCCTCTTCTGGCCCAGAAGACAGAAGATCACATAAACCAGTGACAACCAAAGAAAGGACTTCCGCAAAGGTCTCCAAGCTACATCACAAATGCCACAATAAACAGCAAACACAACATGTAAATAGTAAAAAGCATAAGAATCGCTAATTAGCATTTACCTTGTTCGAGTGAACAGAATCCCATTTAGTCGCACAAAGCGGATACAAAGTGATTTGTGGGTATCATGGCTGTTGGCTTTACTTTCCTTGAAAGTTGCAGCTTCAGCAACAGTGTCTTTAGATCCAACCTTGGCTTGCTGTCCCCTTCCTTTTCCAGCAGACCGCACCGTAGAAGTTTTAGTAGCATCTCCATGAAGTTGAGAGTAACTCTGACGATTCTGACAATTCCAAAACAGGAAAAAACACGGATGTCAAAGTAACTATTTCCAAATTTCCATATATACACCAACACAAAGGTCCATGAATCAGTTCTCACGAAAACTCAGCATGCTGATATTACTTAACAAATAATTTCCTAGCAAATTCATCTAAGCAATACAATCTTTATCATACAGTTGACCATATCTATACAGGCTTTTTTTCAAATTAAGAGAAAATGCAGTCAACCGTTGACCCATTACACTAACACCCCCCCTCCCCCCCCCTCCCCCCCCCTAAAAAAAAAAAATAGATAAATAAACATAAGGTCTAAAGTCTCAGAACTTTTCTTTTAAATCTAGGCTTTTCAACCACAAAATACCTAAATAAGGTCTAAAGTCTCAGAACTGTCACACATCATATTCTCAGAAAAAGCTTTAGGGCCCATTTGTCAATAACAGAAAGAAAAGCAGAAGAAAGCCACAAGAGTAGATCTAGAGGGATGCCGTATCGCCACTATCCAAAAGTATGACAGACCAGGCTATAACATCTAATTTGGGTCTAAAGTCTCGGGTCTTGGGAAAAAATTCTAGGTCCGTTTGACACACCTAAAAAAAGAAAAGCAGAATAGAGCCACAAGAATAGAACTTGAGCGATGCCATTTCTTTCTCCTGCACCACAATCTCCAATAATCTGACAGTCCAATATAGGGGGGTAATCGAGTAAAGTTGAGTCAAAACAGTTCAATACTCGAGCTCATACAGACTCCAAAGTTCAAGGCTCCAACTTGATTTGGGCTCAATTTTTCAAACTTGAGCCTTTTGAATTCTGTAAATACAATGTGATTGAAAAATAAATAATCTTTTGAATCTATTTACAATTATAAATATGTACAGTTCGAGATAGATAAAAATACACTTATTCGATTAGGCCTGCGAGATATTTGATTCAAGCATTTTCAAGTTCAAAATGACTCAAGAAAGTACTCAAACTCCTTGAACTTAACTCGAACTTGAAAGAATCGAGCCAAGTATTGAGTAAATTGCGAGTCAAAATCTGAGTAGCTCACAAGTACCTTGACTCACTTACACCCCTAGTTTAGTCCATTTGTATATTGTTCTGTTTCTTATCACACCACTTATTGATCAACATCACCATCTCCAGTTCTTCCTCTTTGAATTCTTTCTTCCTTTCTCCAGTGCATCCGCTTACTGTTTGTCGTGTCAATATGCTGTATTATAGATATAGATGCTTGTTCATCTTTAATGCCCATTCAGTTGTATGCGTAACTCTTTAAGATGTCTTTCTTGTATGCAGCTCAACTCCTCTTAAATATTGAGCTCTAATTTTTAAGCCTCCTTTCTCTTTTCTTAAGGTTAGTATGCAGATAATTGACTCTCTGTCTGAATAAGCATCACAAGTCGCTTAGTTTGTAGCACCCTATGATCCTTGATCAGATCCTACTGCCCATCCATGAATAAAACCATAACTTACTAGGGATCCAGATCATAAATAACCTCTCTCATGATGTGATAATATAAACATCAGAAAAGAAGACAGGATATGTAACATCTCTTAGACTGGCATGACATGAACTCAATAAGTTGAGATATCAAACCCACAACATAAACTAAATAATTTGAGAAAATAAACCTGTAGAATTACTTTTGTAGCATGTAAGGGATGCATTTATCTTAAGGACTACCTTTTCGAAGGCAACAATCAAGTTGTCCCTTGCTGTTGAACATGGGCTATCCACAGCCAAACTCCGGAAATATCGGTAAATAGTTACCAAATCGTCCCCAGAATAAGAAGCTAATATAGCAAGCTGCAGAGAAAGAAATTTGTTACATATGAACATCCAGACAGCACTAGAAAGTCTAGCAATTCACCCCTCTCAAAGTTTTGTTGGGTAATTGATTAAAAAAACCTGATGATGGGGGTTCCCAATAGACGGCCAAAGAGATGCAGCTTGGAGATAGTAACTGGAAGCTGCTGCAAACTCACGAGCTTTCGAGTCCGGTTCTCCATACAGACCTTTGTAACGTGCAAGGTCACCCAAATAAATCAAGCAACGGTGACAGGATATTAAAACTTTTTTCACATCAGCAGATTTTTTTCCATCTTTCTCATACAAAAGTCCATTGTCTGCATCCTCAGTGAAGTAACCAAGAGGCAGACCGTACTTTGATCTGATTTTCAAGATCAGATCATGATAGAACCCGGTTGCTTCGGAGAGAAAAGTCTTAAACTGCAGCCTTATTTTTGTTATTCGGTCCGGTCGAGTGGAGGGTCCTTTCCCATTCGGTGATGCATTTGAATTAGCCGATGCTTGAGCAGCAGTATAGTGAGCTCTCAATTCCTCAATTTTCTTGTAATGCAATTGCCACAGAGCATGCTCGATATTGTGCTTCTCAGAAAATGAATGATCCTCAAGGAATATCTTTTCATAGTTCTCACGCATCTGTTGCCATATATTCGGGTCAGATGGAATCCGTGCCTGGGCAGACTTACGACGCCTATTATCCAACTCAATGTTCTGCACCAAGAGCATGCGTCAATATACGGAAACACGAGCAATAGACCACTCAAAGAAGTAGGTGAAGAAGAAAACCTTTTCATAAAGACGACGTGCACGCTCCCAGGATGGAGCAGGCGTGCTATCCATCTGTACGATCATTATCCATCAAACATCAACACTGTTCGCCTTCTTGTTTGCTTCAAAGCCATGCAAATTCACAAAAAAAAATAAAATAAACATATGAGTTCAAAATGACCAAGAATACTTGACGATTTAAAGGTAATAAAGAAACGGCGATGCGGCGTCGCAGCTGTTTCGTGGGGCTAAATGCAGCTTAAACTGCTAATTCAACAGAATTTGATGCTGCGATATGGACTATCACCGCCACCAATCATATGCACAAGGTTCGGACACAAATTCCACAGCTCGCCTACAGCTTCGAACACCTACCAGATAACGTTGATTCGGACACAAACCAACGGCCAACAAACATCATCGCATGATAACCGTAGCCGCCACTATTGCCAAACCTTAAATTCGGTCAGGCGAGATCGCCGCCGGCCCTCGTCCGGGTCGCTATTTCAGGCGATCCCATCGTGCGGAGCTCAGAAAACCCACGGCTACAATCGCGAGACCCCCGCCCGCCCCGCCCCTCGCCCCTCCTCCCCCCCGATTTCCCAGATGCAAATTGAAAAACCGAACAGCTTCGAGCCAGAAGAATCCGGAAAACGAAGATCGAGAAGCGATCGCAAAGATGAACCGAAATCGACTTACCTGAATTCGCCTGCGCGGTTCGGCGAGCTTAGGGTTCGCCGAGAATCGCACCAGCGAGGCGAAAATCCGGCACGGCCATGGGAGAAGGAGGAGGAGGAAAACGAGGCGGAATAGAAGAAGTCTGGAGAGCGACTTTCTATGGTCGTCGCAGGAGATCTCTCCAGCCGTTGGATCGTCGCCAGCGTTCAATCTCGACCGCTCAGATCCCTCTACCGCCGACGCTTTCTTACCTCCTCGACCGGTTGCCCCCACCCCCCAACATCGAGAGATCTGAGCCCCTCGATGGCTTTCTCCACCGGTCAATCCGAGCCGTTGTTAATTCGAAAGGGCAAAAGAGCTAAAAAAATAACGAAAAGGAAAAATGGGCGGAGTCTTCGTGACATTGGAGCGTGGGAAGGTCCGAAACGGCGAGTCGTCGGGTTCGGCTGGAAGGGTCGGCGGGTCAAACACCGCCTAACGTCAACACATCGTCACTCCATACGTCTGCTTCAATTCAACCGGAATGATCGGTATTCTTCTAATCGTTGTGGATTTTTGTGAAAATTGGATTTACACAGCCTGTCGAGTAATTAAATAAAAAAAATAATTAAAATTCTTATTATGTCGGACCATAATATTGCTCGTGACATGCATAATCAATGCTTTGAAAATCACATATTTCATTGTTAAACGGGCTCGATATGTTAGTTCTTGGGATAATGACACAAACAGTTGATGAAGTTTAGTCTAATATGCAATTTGATCCAGAAACTTTTAATTGTTTAATGCAGTCCCTGAACTTTAACCTAATGAGTATATTGAACATTTTCATATAGTTCAGAGACTGAATTGAATATGTACAAAAAGTTTAGGGACTAAATTGAACAAATTAAAAGTTCAGGGACCACATTGAACATTAGGTTGAAGTTCAGGGATTACATTAAACAAATTAAAAGTTCATGGATCAAATTGCATATTATGCCAAAGTTCATGGACCGTTTGTGTTATTTTCCCTTAATTTTTTATCGTTGTGGCAAAGGCCTTAAAAATAACTCTGTTTGGCATAATCAATAAAATTCTTATTATAGTATTATTTAAACCGAAAAATGACCGACTTTTGGTTATTATTGATAAGTGATATACTTAATTAGTGAGAATAAAATTATGAACATACTTATTGATAATTTGAATGGAATCGACACCTCGTCGGTGAAGTCATTGACAATACATTAGGAAGTTATCGACAAGAGCATTGAAGTTTGTCGACAAAGTCATTGGCATCGGCGAGCAATCAACAAGAAGAGAACGACGGGTGGTTATGTCCATATTCATTAATTTAGGATTGTTTAACTTCTTTTGGATAAGTGCTCTTGAAGCAAGTTTAGTAAACCACCATTAGTAAGTTGTCCATTTTTTTTTTTAATTCCAAAGTTGCAACCGCCTATTATAAATACCCCAAGCGTACTTTTTGTAAATCCTGTCAATCAATCATAGGACTCAACGCACTCGTAAATTTATCTTTTCTTTAGTTTCCACAATTTAAATATTTTTCAAGTCTCATACTTTGGTCATAATTTCAGATATCTCTTTGCTAATTAACTTCTGGCCTGTATCTTAGTTGTGTTTTTTAAATCTTCGTTGTTGATTGTATTCCAATTTTGTATCTCTCTATCGTCTGGCTTTGTCGTCGATTAAATTCGACAAAGTGTTCTCTACTTCATCATCAATTAAATTTCTTGTTGCCACAGCACCCATATCCTCTTAATAAAAAATGAAAAATAAATTTCGGTGAAAAATATTTCGTCGACGATACAATATTGGTGAACAAATATTTAAAAAATACTCGCTTAATCCTTTTTTATTGATAGCTCGAATGCAGTAAAATGCCTTTTGGGGTTATAGCCCACGACCGAGGCGGCTCCAAACTTCTATCTTTGGTGGTTGGTCCGGGCCACCACCGGCGCATTGGCTTCATCATATCGTAACGACCGACCACGGTCTATATGGGCCGGTGAATGGCGACGACTCCATCGGTTATACACATAAATCACCTTATCATGTCACAAGAATTACCAAAAGAAAAAAATAGGGCCATTCACCTAAACATCCCCCAAAGGTCCTAAAAATTAAATTAAATAAAAGAAAAGGAAAAATAAATACTAAATAGTCAACATCGCATACCAATAGTCAACGCGTTTGACCATGAGAGCAAAGAAGTTTATTAAGACAATGAAAACCTGTCGCTTTTCTTATTGAGAGACAGAGTGAGGATTTCTCTTTGGAAGTAATAGAGAGATGGAACAATTTGCTTGTTTTGCAAGTTTTAGTTTGACAACAAATTCGAAATTCGGGTTTTATAAGGCCAAGTCGGTTTCTCTTATTCCCTTTTAAAGTTTAGTGGTACCGTTATTTCAGAGCTTAAAAATCACATCCGACAAAGTTTGATTGGATCGTGCCGAAATTCAACTAATCCTATCAAAACATTCAGTCATGGTCAAATCATGCCATTATCTCGATTGGAAATCGACCCGTACGTGGCATAGCTCTCAATTTTTTTGGTAAATCTATGCAACTTTACGAAGAGTTCTATCCGCGATAGACTAGTATGTAATGTAGGAAAGTGTAACATTGTAGTAGAAAGTTCTTGCTCATAGTAATATCGTTTTATTGGTAACTAAATTTCTATTAAATGGAGTTTTCAGTTCTGCTTTGTACAATAATCTCGTATGCAATAAAGTAATGTCTATTATGGAAAAATCATCATTTTGTAACTCTTAATACATGGATTTGATTTTTTATGGTGAAATATCTCATCGTGGAGTGAAATTCCCCATTTATGATAATGTACTAATAAATACCTAAAATATCTATTTCTGGTAAAATATGTTAAATTTATGGTATCAAGGTCTCATGTTTGGAAATATGCAGATTTATGGAGAAGAATCTTATGTCTGGCTATATATGGTAGTTTATGGTAGGAAATGTGTTAATCATGATAAGACTCCTTCAAGCATAGGGTTCATAATTTCTATCTACAAGTTCTTATCTTGCACAAATTAGGGATGATTACAAAAAATGGTCCACGTGGTATTGTTTTTGTTTTGTTTTATTTTATTTCTTGACAAATTCGGGCATTTAAACCGGCATGCGAATACGATTTCAAGACAAATTTTGTATTTTGCAATCCGAAGCAACTTTCTCCTTGTATGGGAAAACAAATTCAGTAGTTTCTATTAAATTCCGTTAAAACTTATGCAATATTAGTACCCGCTCATTATAATGCATTGCGTACTGCTGAAAACGCCCGAAGAATCCCGTCATGGGTGGTACCGGCGGATCAAATCCAATCACATTTGTCCGATCCCGTGCTTAAAATGGTTCTGCAGCACTTTGCTTTATACCTTTCCTTTTGAATTTCCCGAGCATCGCAATTAAAATATAAGTCAAGATAATAATAACGCAATTCCTTATATCTCTAATGCCTTGGAAGTTCAAATTCAGATTTTTTTTGTCAACCTAAAATAATCTCAGTTAATTTTCCTAGATAGCTCCAATCTTCACCTAATCACCTTTTTTTCCCGACAATTTGTTTTTCGCATACACAATCCGAGTGCTTTTTTGTTTTTTTTTAAATTTTTTATTGGATAAAACGTTTGTGATTTAGACAAATATAATTAATTAATAAATAAATAGTATAAAAACGAAGACCTTCGGAGGGCGGTCTTCTCACCCTCTCCGAGGACCGTAGAAAAGCCCTCTCTCGTTCCGCAATCCAGATTCGTCCTCCCCCTCTTTCTCTCTCTAAGCCACTTTCTCTCTCATCGCCGCGCCGGGTCTCCGATCCTCCCCGTCTCCTCCGATCTGGCCCCGCCGGCGCCGCCGCCAACCAGGTAAGCTCGATTTCGGTTCGTGCTATCGACGATCTCCCCCTCGCCTGCTGTTCTCCTCCGATTTGCGGTCGCGTCTGCTGACTTTGAATGTCGGAATCCCTCGCTCGCGGCGTGCGCTTGTTGTGTTTTTTCTTTTCGATTTTCGCGTGCGGATTCTCGGAGGAAATCGTGTCCGCCGCCGTCGGTTTCGTGTGTCCTGGGCGCTGGTGTTCTTTCTCTCCGTTCGGTTTAGCTTGCCGTTGGATCACCCGCCCGCCCGCCCGCCCCTTGAAACAGCTGCCGGAATTGAGCTTTTCGATAGTAGCGGGTTCACTTTGTTGTTTGATTGATAGAGATGGACATTGATCGAATATTGCGCGATAGGGTTGACGGCGAGACGTGATGCGTTTAGCAGTATTGTCTGTGTTGATCGCCCGAAGGTCGAAAGTGATTTGCAGGATGAGATGTTGATTTGCAGGATGAGATGTGTGGCCCTCGTGTCGCGGTGCATTGCACCCTGCCAACTGACGTTAGTGGTTGGTCTGTGGTTGGTGCTTTTCTCAATAATTATGGTATAACTTCGTTCGAGCGGTGGGTCGATTGTTGAGGTTTTGTTACTATTCTGATTAATCTCGTTCTATAAGTTTACACTATGTTCGTTAAGAGGAGATTGAGAAGGCAGAGAGAGGATTTTAAATATGCTTACTTGTTTGGATGGAGGGAAGGCAACGGAAAGGAAAGAAAAGGAAAGGATTCGGAAAGATTAGGCGTAGTTAATTTTATGTGTATCCGTCCGAAAATGGAATGATGCGGAAGGATTGGTGCTTTCATTAAATGATTCTTTCTTCTTTCTCACTTGTACGTTATTTTAAATGCACAAAAGGACACAATAGTCATGATTCATTATTTTCTATTCCTTTCTGTTGCTTGCATCCGAACAATATCATAAACTTAGTTTTTATATTTCCTTTCTCTTTCTTTTTTTCTGTACTTGTTCGAACCCCTTCATTTCCTTTCCAATCACATCTACTGAATATAGCGTTATAGGGAAGTTGTTGCTTGATCGTGCCATGCCATTTTTTGTGCTTCTTGGTCCTGTTTGAAGAGTATCGGACTCGGTCTACATAGTCACCATCCGGTATTTGGTGTCTCTTCTGGTTAGTTTGTTCAAATGAAAAATATCTGGTTGCTTTTAATAGACATTTATGGGATTGCAAAATCCGTGTCTACATCTCATGCATTCAATTGATGATGCTATTTCATGGTGCAGCATGAATTTCTCACAAATTAGCTATTACACTTTCATTTAACCACCACCAAGCAGCTGTGTCACTGCATAAATGTTTCTGTATTACATTTAATCATCAATTATTCTTGGTCATTTTAAGCTCATATGTGTTTCGGGATGTGCATGGCAATGAAGCAAACTAGAAGGCGAGCGGTGTTAATGTGGATGGATAATGATCATAGAGACGGATAATATGCCTGCTCCGTCCTGGGAGCGCGCAGGACGACTTTATGAAAAGGTACTTTTCTTTACCTAATTATATCTGCTTACAGTACTTGCGGTCTTGCATTTTGATGCATGCCCCTTTGTACAGAACATTGAGTTGGATAATAGGCGTCGGAAGTCTGCCCAGGCACGAATTCCATCTGACCCAAATGTATGGCAACAGATGCGTGAGAACTATGAAGCAATAATTCTTGAGGATCATACATTTTCGGAGAAACACAACATCGAGCATGCTCTATGGCAATTGCATTACAAGAAAATTGAGGAATTGAGAGCACACTACAGTGCTGCTCAAGCATCTGCAAATTCAAATGCATCGGTCAATGGGAAAGGACCCTCCTCTCGTCCAGATCGAATAACGAAAATAAGACTGCATTTTAAGACTTTTCTTTCCGAAGCAACTGGGTTCTATCATGATTTGATCTTGAAAATCAGGTCAAAGTATGGTCTCCCTCTTGGTTACTTCTCTGAGGAGGTAGACAGCAGACTTTTGTCCGAGAAAGATGGAAAAAAATCAGCAGATGTAAAAAGGGTTCTGATATCTTGTCACCGTTGCTTGATTTACTTGGGTGACCTTGCACGCTACAAAGGTCTGTATGGAGAGCCTGACTCAAAATCTCGTGAGTATGCAGCAGCTTCAAGTTACTATCTCCAAGCTGCATCTCTTTGGCCGTCTATTGGGAATCCCCATCATCAGGTCTCCCTTTCTTTATGAATAATTTAACGACGTTTGATTGAGGCGAATTGCTCAGCTTTATAGTGCTTTCTGGATGATTATATGTGTCAAATTGCTTCCTTTTCAGCTTGCGATATTAGCTTCTTATTCTGGGGACGATTTGCTGACTGTTTACCGATATTTCCGGAGTTTGGCTGTGGATAACCCATGTTCTACTGCAAGGGACAACTTGATTGTTGCCTTCGAAAAGGTATTCCTTTCATTATACAATGAAGTCCTGACATTCTAGCATGTCATTTCTGTAGGTTTAGTTCCTCATAATATTGAATTTATGTCGTGTGATACAACAATCTCATAGACGTTACATTTCTTATCTTCTTTTCTGATGTTTATTGTATCAAGTCTTGAGAAGTTGTTAGGATTGGGTCCTAAGATTTTCTTGGTTATTCGTGGATTGAAAGTAAGATCTGATCAAGGATTTTAGGGTGCAACAAATTAAGCAACTTGAGACGACTATATGTACAAATAGTCAGTTACTTGCATATTAACCTTTAGAAAGAGGAACAAAGCTCAAATATAGAGCTCTTACTTAGAGAGAAGTCAAGGACTGTCAAGAGAGATATATCTCAAAGAAGCATACTTACAATCTAACCACATAGAGGATAAACAACAATATATATGACAAACCCATAATCAGATGCTCTAGATAAAATTCAAAGAGGAAGAACTGGAGATGGTGAGATGGTGATGCTGCTTACCAGTAGAGTGGTGTGAAGAAAAAGAAATGAAATGGATATGGGTTTCTCTGTCATATTATTGGAGAGTGCCAGTATAGGAGGAGAAAGAAAATGGCATCTCTCAAAGTTTATTCTCGTGGCATGCTTCTGATTTTCTTTTTCTACCTTTTTAAATGGGCCTAAAAGCTTGTTTTGAGAGCATGATGGGTTTTGGGCATTGAGACTTTAGACATTATTTTTGTATTATGGCATTGAGAGATGCCATTCCTTTCTCCTCCTGCACCACCACTCTCCAGAAGTATTGAAAAGGCCTAATTTCAAATTAAAGTGGGACGTTTAGTATTGGGGGTAGAATCGCGATCCCACCTGGATCTACGCGGGATCAGTCTTAACCATGCTCAGTATTGTACTCTACTGAATTGATTATAAGAATCCTTAATGATCATGGTCTCAGGTATGAAGGATATAAAAAATGCACTTTTTGAACATTCATGAGCTGTTTAGAACATCTGGGTTTCATAAATAATAATTTTTATTTAAGGGGAGTTTGCATAAAGATACAACTACAATGATCCAAATATCAGCTGGAAAGGTGTTAACATGTGCATTAATGGGGAATCTCATTATTCTGTAGTCACTCGGAAGGCCGTGCACTTCCACAGTTTTGGAGTCCAGATGCAGTTATTATAGTTGCCTACTGAAAGATGGCACTTTGAAAAACATTTTGCATTTGGAGATGTTCATTGCTATAATTTATTTATTTGTTAGGGTGACAAATTTCTCGGGTTTTCACTTAATTTGATAAGCATTTTGCATATGTAACTAAAACTGTATGATGAGATTGTAGAACTTAGCCAAACAAGCTAGGAAATTGTCTGGTTTTTATGTCGGCATTGCTTATTTTTAGCAAGTACTTATTTATGGTGCCTTTTGTTGGTGTGTCTGGGGAAAAGTTAGTAGACATCTTTGTTTTTACCTGTTTTTGAATTGTCAGAATCGTCAGAGTTTCTCTCTACTGCATGGGGATGCTAAAAGTTCTATAATTCGGTCTGCTGGAAAAGTGAGAGGACAGAAAGCCAAGCTTGCATCTAAAGATACTGTTGCTGAAGCTGCAACTTTCAAAGAAAGTAACTCCAACACCCATGATACGTACAACTCACTTTGCATCCATTTTGTCCGTCTAAATGGAATTCTGTTCACTCGAACAAGGTATAAGTGCTTATTAGTAATTCTTATGCTTTTTGCTGTTTTCATGGTGTATTTGCTATTTATATTGGCATTCTTGGTGTAGCTTGGAGACCTTTGCGGAAGTCCTCTCTTTGGTTGTCACTGGTTTACGTGATCTTATGTCATCTGGGCCTGAAGAAGAGATGAGTTTTGGAAATGATGCTGTAGAGAATGGTCTTTTCTTTGTCAGGCTTGTGTCTATCTTTATATATACTATTCATAACGTGAAACGCGAGAGTGAAGGCCAGAGTTATGCCGAAATTGTTCAGCGTGCTGTACTGCTTCAGAATGCATTGACTGCGGTTTTTGAGATCATGGGACTAGTGATGGAGAGATGCGAACAAGTTCGCGATCCTTCTTTGAGTTACCTCTTACCTGGCATTTTGGTCTTTGTGGAATGGTTGGCATCTTATCCTGATGTTGCCATGGGCGGCGATGTTGATGAGAAGCAGGCAACTGTTAGATCAAATTTGTGGAGTCGCTATGTCTCTCTTATGAATAAGCTTTTGTCGATCGGGTCGATGTCCATAGATGACTGTGATGATGAAAGTTGCTTTGATAACATGAGCAGATATGAAGAAGGGGAAACTGGAAACCGGCTGGCTTTGTGTGAAGATTTTGAATTGAGAGGATTTCTGCCGCTTGTTCCTGCACAAACCATTTTGGACTTTTCAAGAAAGCATTCTTTTGGAAGCGAAGGGATCAAGGAAAAAAATGCTCGTGTTAAAAGGACTCTTGCAGCTGGGAAAGTGCTTGTAGGAGGGGTTAAAATCAATAACGAAACAGTTTGGTATGACTCAAAGGCTAAGAAATTTGTCATTGGTGTTGAGAGTCAACTGTCAGCAGAGGACATTCGTCTTCCTGATTCTACTGTGCCTAAGGCAAATGACATGTTGCTAGAAAATGGAGCACAAACGGCTGTGAAATCGGAAGAGTTCCTGTCGAATTCTCAGCTATATGTGGAAGGGGAAGAGGAGGATGAAGAGATTGTTTTTAAGCCGACAGCAGCAGAGAAGCAAACAGATACTGCTGTTCAAAATTTGGTCTCTTCTAAGATGTTGGAGCCGCAGAAAAATGTCTTTGGAAGCGGTCAACCCTTTTCAGTTGCTTCAATGTCAGCCCCTCCTGACAACTCTCTGCATATGACCACTTCAGATGCTTTTTCGTGGAATCCCATTTCTACTGGTAATCTACAGCCTGTCAAATCTCATACTTTAAATTGGTTGACAGAAGAAACTTTGCTGTCTAATAGCTTCAAAGATCTAAGGATGCTGGAGAATGGGCATCTGGCACATTCTGAGATCAATGAGAACACCGTCAACTTTTTCCCTGCTGTTAATTCATTTCCGAACAGACAATCTGCTATTAAGAGCGACAGCTTGTTTCTAAATCAGGCAAATGCTCCAGATGCTGTGGTTCCTTCATCTATATATAATTCTCTAATGTCTTCTGGAGTTAGTGTTGATGCATTGGCTCCGAAGCCATCATCTCCTTCTCCTGTAGGTTTGAAGAAGAAACCAGTTGCTAGGCCACTCAGACATATTGGCCCTCCCCCTGGTTTTAATGCTGTTCCTAAGCAGGCCAATGGACCCTTTTCTGGTTTAGACCTGAGCTATCAGAACCAAATGTTGGACAATTATAGCTGGTTGGATGGGTATCAGATGTCTTCTGCATTCGGGGGCATCGGGGACAATTCCATCTCTTATTCATCTTTTGCAAACTTACCGCCCATTAGTAGCAGTGCTGCTTCAATTGGGACGGTCAGCTTCCCGTTTCCAGGAAAGCAAGTTCCATCAGTCCACCAAATGGAAATTCATAAAGGCTGGCATGATCACGAGACTGTGGAGTGTCCGAAGCAGATGCAGCAACCTCAGCAAATAATTAATGGGAACCCACAGCTTGGTCCTTTGCCAGAGCAGTACCAAGGACCAGTCTGGACAGGTCATCATTTTGTGTGAGATCAATGTGACGGCATGTTGCGGTATGGTTAAGTTTACAATAACTCTTGGAGTTTGTGGTCCATCTGCTAACTTATGGAGTGCGGACATGATAATGTATTTGTTTTTGTCAGGAATGATATTGGTGAGACCCTTCTGCCATATCAAGCTCCAGTTAGGCGGATCTATCAATGCTAAGTTTGTGTTGGAGTGTGGATGGCCTTGGCTTTTAGATTGGAAGTTCTACTTAGCAAGTGAGATTTCTTTGTTCACAATTACTGTGTTTCAACCCCCGGGAAATGAGAATTACCAATTACATTAGGCTTTGGTTGGTTAATAAACTTAGCAGATTAGTAAAAGGGAGCCAGATGACCGAGAGAATCATCAATGACTTCACTAAATAGGCATCATGAATTGCATCCTGGGAAAAAAAAAATGCCTTGAGAAACTAGGTTTTGCATGCTAAAGTTGATCGTGTCAGCATTATCTATTTATAGGACAAGTTAGTAGTTGTTGCATATGTTCAATGCAGTCACTTGTTTTTGGCTTTCTTTTTTATCTTGTGTAATTGTTAGGCAGAGACATGCCTTTCTTGATTTGAGTTAGGGATAGCTGAATTCCCTCTGATCCAGAAGTTTATGTTCTGAATAATGTTAGGTATATGAAGACTAGTTTACAAAATGGATAGACCAAATGTTGTGCCAGACTACGAGTGGACATTTAAAACACATGAGTTATAATAAGAGTCCGCCACATGCTTAGTACACCAATTTTGCATACAAATTTAGTACAGCAGGCTTTGTTCCATTTCTTTCTTTTTTGAGTTTGTTCTTGTCTTGACTGTGACTCTTCCTACATCAGTTGAACAGGTAAGCCAAGCTTTGAAGCTCAGGAGGAAATCTTGAGGAGTTCGGACATTTTTATAATGCCAGGTTGTAAGCGGTTGCTTCTTCTGGTAACCGTGGTCAAGATATGTTGGGTACCGAGATCATTAATTGTTGGGATTATTATTATATCTGGATGATGGAATGTGGATGGCATGCTCTCTGTTCTTCTGGGTCGTCACCATGATGAGTTTGGGCATCTAGTTTTGGCAGTTTGCGACGGGGGACCCCTTTTGTTGGACCAGCTTGTCAGAAATTTGAGAGCTCCAGTCGTGACTTTGGCACTGTCCGGCCTGTGCCGGGGGGGTATCTGATGAGAATAATCCCATCGAGAGCTATGTGATGGGGTCGAGTCTGAGTGATGGATAGATGATGTGTCTGGAACCGAGTATCTGCATTTCCATATATGCTTTAGTGGTTTGAAGAACTTGAGATAGAAGACTTATTGGTTTGTCTTGCCGTTGTTGGAGTCCAGGTCTTCAGCACACAATAAAGTCCTCGTACTCTCTTCTTTATTGGTGTCGGCACGTCTGTCTGCGTCATGCTTTTCCTTATGGACGTACGCATCTATATATATTGTCACATAATTGTTTAGACACATGGATTGTTTTGTGTTGATTCGATTGCTGACATGCTGTTCCGGATTCTAGGCTCTTCGAATTCGGCCTAGAATCGGGTCTCATGCTTCTCTGAGCTGCTTCGATAGTTTCGTAGCGAGCTCTTGGGCTCTCTCTGTCTCTCGAGAGAACTCGTGTATGGGATCTTTAATCGTTGACAGGTGCTTGACTCTGCTGATAACCGATGACAAAAAGGACATGTTGTCATTTGGCAGAATAGTTTCATTTCTTGCTGTGTCCTACCGAATCTGTGATGATGGTTTCAGATATGGTCCATCGTCATCTATCTCGACTGGTGCCAAGGAGACATCAATGTAAACTTGTCTTGGATCTATCATTAATCACCGCGATCCACCTTTCTTTGCCACGGCCAAGGAAGGAGCAGATCTAATCCGGTGACGGTGATGGCGTTGGGAGATGGGAAGAGGCAATCGGACCTTTCGCTGGTAGATGTGAATCATGACTTTTGAGTATAATTGAAAAATTTTTTTGACAAAAAGAAAAAACTACGCCAAAATTTTCTGTAAGCCAAAATTTCAACCAAAAAAAAAAAAGGAACTACGCCAAAATAAAAAAGAAGAAGTACAAAAAAGCGGCATCTAAGCTTTTAATTGGCACTTCTTATATCCTCTTATTGCACTTCTTATATCATCTAATAGAATAAATAGAATAAGTGTAATTTTTTCAATACTAATTTTTACTAAAATATTAGAAAAAAGGTAAGGATTTACTTATCTTCTCTATAGTTAATCTTTTAAACAATTGATGCACAGGAAATTACCAAAAAAAAAAAAAGAGAGTAAACGAAGCACTTGAAAGAAAGTCAAAATTCAAAAATTCAAAATGGACTCACCAAGTCATCATGCAGTATTATTAGTAGTAGAATGGCAGTCCACCACACATAAGAGGCAAAACAAGACGTACACTCCAATATTGGCAAAACGTGCCCAGCTCCACCTCAGCACGAACAAAAACGTTTTTATCGAAATCCAATCATCTAGATTTGTTATCGATTTTCGATTATTTGCATTGTTCGATAAACATTATGATGTGCTCTAGACACCAGCCAATGTCGTATGACAAGTGCTTGTTGGGAGCACGGGAGAAATCCAATACCTTCACCTGGGAGATTATCAAGAGGGAATTCAAGTCCGACAGGACATATCCAATCAAACCAAATTTCACTCGAAATGTTAAGCCAATAAGTTATAGACGAGTTATAATATTTAATTGCTCCGCATCATACCGATTTTCCGGTGTGAGACTTTTAAATACAATTCACACCAATTTTCCCTTAATTGAGGTATTCTTCTGCGTTAGCATGTCTCTTTCGCCATATCGAAGCATGAAGGCTACCTAAACCACGTTGGTTAGCCAATTATCTGGAGCGTGTAACAGAAATTCGATACCTTCACCCATGGAAATTATCAAGAGAAAGCCTAAGTCATGTCTAACGCAACTCACATGTGCATCTTAACCGTGTTAGGTCTAATCATGTCTTAATTATAAAAAAGAATGCGAATAATCCAGGATATGATTTTCCTAACACAGTTAAGATGGACCTTTGATAGTATCCCGTCCTGAATCGATTGATTGAATTTCCTGAACACAGGAAATATATCATGAATATAAGGATCGTGTATGTAAGGTGTGAGTCAAAATCTACGATTGACTTTCTAACGCAACTCATATATGCATCTCAACCATGCTAGGTCTAGTCATATCTCGATTATGGAAAGATTGTAAAATAATGCAACAAATACGAATACCTAACAAACACAGGTCTATACAAGGTCGAGGGTATATAAGTTCTACCGAATTTTATATATGGATTTTGGCACACAATACTGGTTCAATGTCCCATGATCCATCAAGCGCAAAAAATTTCATATGCAAGACTCGTCCCTGGACTTTGACTTGCACCTTACATGCACCATCCCTATATTCATGACAATAATATTTCATTTAATTAGTCGATTCCGAACGGGATACTGTCAAAGATTCATCTTCACTGCCTTAGTTTAGATACGTGTATGATGCATGAATTTAATTTCCCACCAATGTTGATCACAAAGGAAACATAAATGCAGAAAGTTTGGTGGGAACTGTTGCTGTACGACATTGATTACAAGCTTCAGGATCAGATCTTGCACCCGCTCCGCACTTTTTGTGTTTTTCTTTTGCCAATCATGACCACATCTACCGTGCTGAGACTTGTCTAGTTAACACGAAAATCATATCTACCGTGCTGATACTCCTAACCCTTATAAGCATTCGATGCAATGGTTATTGCTATCAGGTTTTATCTGTGATTAGTGTATTCACATGAACTTTTGTTATACAATAACTTGCAAGGCATGGATTAACTGTCCGGCGAGATGGAAACCCAACAGGTCAGCTTAGACGGAGTAGAGAACGATATAAATGATCTGCGTATGTTTAGGTGTGCCCGATGAGTTTGTTTTTTTTTACATACGATTGATTGCAAGCACAAACTTTTGTGTTTGTTCTACATGTGTTCAGATCAGCCGTCGTATTACTTCGGTTGGTGATGTTACTGATACATTTCATTAGATTGAAGCATGGAGCTCGATTCAGATGCAGCTGTTCTTCATAACAAGATTGAAACAGACATTTAAAGGTGGGGACTTTGGTAGGAGTAGCTGCAAGAAGTGAATCAGCATATCCACTTCCCCAAAGAGAAAAATAATTAATTTTAGATGGAAAAAAGTACCAGAAAATTGGTTAATGATGGACCATACCATAATAATGCTGATCCCTAGCAAGTTATGTACAAAATATAATAAAAATAATGAAATGAAATGGCAGATTTCTGGCACACCCAACTACATTTAGTCATCTTTATCTCATCATATCATGTCAACTTCACATCCCTGGTTGCTGGTGGAGATTTAAACTGTTGTGGTTGGTCCCTGGTGTTATTTCTTCCATCTACTCTGCTTGTTGAATGTTCTTAAATTTGTCAAAACACGATCACTTGCGCACGTCATGTCTGATGGATCAGTTGTTGTGCTAAGTAATCGCCAAATTCCTTCGAATGCACGCTTTCCTCCGCCAATCCGACAATGGCCGCACAAGAATGTTCCTTCTGTCCGTCCATCCTTCGCGATCGTAACGTTAGAAAGGCTCAGGCTGAACTTTCGAAAAACTCTCGAAGTGAAAATAGATACGCATAAAAGTTTCGAGTAGGCAACGAGCATTGATTTGAAAGAAAACCAATTGAGAATGCTTGTTTTCTGCATAGTTTCGAAAGTAACTTGTCAAATGTGGTTTCATTTATAATCTACCTATTTCTGATGCATGTCCTAAACCCTATAATCTCGAAGCTCTACACGGTTAGGTTGTGTAAGCAATTTGAGGAGACAATGGTGCACGTAGTGGAGATGTTCCTCTTTCCTAACGTAATGACTACTTTTTTGTCAAGTTTGATAGAGATATCAATGCTTTCACATAGAGTCCTCGGTCGACTTTAGGGGTCACAAAGGGCCTTATACATGGGACTAACTTAGTGATTAAGAAATTGAGAATCACGATTCAATTAATGGGCGAACTCAAAGACGCGTGCGTTTCCATACATCAACGCCCGCCTCCGCTCGCGGTCTCTTCTGCCGATCAGAACCGTGATGACAATCTTCCCTCGACTTCTGCCGATGATGCACGAGATCCCTTCTTGAGAAATTTATTGGTGATGAGAGGACACATCCAACTAACCCGCCGAATCGGATTCCACTTGTCGAGGAAACCCGATAGAAATCCAACATCTTATTACCGTGAGAACACCAAGCGAGTGTCCAAATCTAAACTCACTACTCGCATCTTCTCAAAATCTAAGTATTCAAGTCACGGGCCAAGTAAAAATATCAATCGTTTCATCTCTCAATACATACCCGATAAAAGACTCTTATCACTAACACCCTCATAAACATGCGCACCGATAATCTTAACTTTCTCGGCCACCATGCCGTGCTTTGATTCGCTTCTTACTCGATCAATGAGATTCATATAAGGTATCTCGCCAATCCGAGATTTTCCCATCTAATTCGAGTGTAATCGTACTAAAAAGATAATCTTGGTGGATAGGAGCGTAGAACAAGAATTTAAAAAAATTTGTACTCGCTCGCAGAGGAGGTATACATTTTCAAACTAAGGCATAATTCCATTTTTCACTTGGTCCGTTGACTTGTGCAGTTTTTGGAACGCGTATCTTGCTAGTGCGGCCGACAAGACGCATTCATGTTCATACTTGGAAATCGAAGAGATTCATCCACTCCAAGTTTGAATTCTATCAATGTGAAAAGCACATTTCCCCCTTAATGAAATCAAAGTAAGCCATGTACTTGCATAAATGATCTAATTTATACCATTTAAATTAAATCGTTTTATGCTTTAGGAGTAACGAAGGTATTATGATCACTATTCAATGTTAATTTTCATGTAATTTCAAGCGAGGCGTCAATTATTCCAAATCTAAACCAACAACGCTTCAAAGAAGATCATAGTCACCCCCATGATACACGTTAAGCGCGGCTGGGGCTTGGAAGATGAGATGATATCGATCTTGAATTGGATTATATCCTGTTCAAATTGCACACTCTGCTTTGGACAGAGCGATGGTTCCAAGCAATAGATTGATTGGAGAAAAGAAGATTGGGGGACGAGGAAAAAGATGGAAGAACCACAAATCGTCAGTTGAATCTCGACCGACCCGAACCGGTTCATCAATCCAAATAAAGTATCATTAATATAAACTACGTTGCCAAAAAAAGCAGCAATTTACTGAAATTAAAAAAAAGAGAGGCAAAGATCTTGAAACTTTTCCCTCAATTTCCTGCCAAATTTGCTCGCCAAATGGAAATTGCTAGACAGCCATGAGGGCAAAAAACACACATGTTGACGTCACGTGTCGAAAACCCATTTCACGGATGGTGTGCCAAACTAACATGCATGGACGTAGATTTCTTTTCTTTATAAAGTTCAGAACACCCATCTTAAAGAAACCGACGCAAATGGCCCTAAACTATTGTCAACGTGAAATATCGTCCTCGAACTTTTAATTTATTCAATGTGGTCCTTAAATTTTGATTTAATATGTTCCTGAACTTTTAATTTTTCAATATGGCCCTTGAATTTTGGTCTAATTTTCAATTTGGTCTATGAACTTCTAAACATTTTCATATAATCTAAGGACTGCAATGAACATATACCAATAGTATAGTGACCACATTGAACAAATTAAAAGTCTAGAGACAACATTGCACGCTGGGCCAAATATCAGGAGCCACATTTGGGGACCTGCTGTATATTTGACCAAAACTCGGGGACCATTTAAGCTATTATCCCTGAAAACTACCGCAAATAAGATGGAAGACTACTTTGGCATCCGACATAACTCGCGATCTAATATTAAGTAGCGTAGATGGCTATTGCCACTCCTCTCGAGAGTGTCGGCAACGGGCAACCAACAACGATGAGTAAGGGGATAATAACATAAATGGATCATGAACGTTGATCCAATATATAATGTGGTCTATGAGTTTTTAATTTGTTCAATATGATCTATGTACTGTAGCTCTATTTGTAACGTACGAGTAAAGCCAAGTCAACACTCCAACGAAACAGCACGAAACCAGACAAACCGAAACGGGTGCAATTTGTAGAAAGAACTCGAACGACGAAAGCGAGATGGGAACACATTGAATTTCCACAGCCACGGCCGTGGGAGGATGGCATTTATGATTGTTGCAGGGATCTGTGATTCTCACTGTGGCCACATCCACACGTTTTTTTTTGTCTTCCTTCGAGCTCTCACATCACCACCAACGTCCCGCGAATTCCGACGACGACTGCCGCCGCCGACGTCGGAGAGAGCTCGAAGACGCCGACGACGACGATTCTTACTGCGCGTACGATATTTTTGTGCGCAGTCAAAACACCCACCTACGTTGCTTTCGTTGACTCCTCAATTCAACGGGCAGGTATACGCTATAGAAAGAGAGGGTGACGTTTCGTGAACCGTGCCAGCGAGTTTCTGTACCGTTTCACCTCACCTCTCTCTGTCGAAGAGCTCTTGCTATGGCTGGTTACTGGGGGACCCCGCCCGGAAACGGCCGCCGCCGGCCACCGCTCGCGAGACCCGCTTCGTGAGACGAACGGCGGAGGCAACGGCGGAGGCGCGAAAACGAGACAGGACCCGTTTCTCACTGTATGATTGTGTCTGTCCGACGCAAATGGCAATTCCCATGATGCTGTTGTGCTCGATGTCACTCGTGCTCCTGAGCGGGTTCGCCGGCTCGGAGCCGACGCGGGACAGGCAGGCGCTCCTCGCCTTCGTCGGACAGATCCGGCAGAGGGGCCGGGTGCGGTGGAACGACTCTGCCTCCGCCTGCGACTGGGTTGGGGTCAAATGCGACCCGGGTCGGAGCTCCGTGCGTTACCTGCGTTTGCCCGGGGTGGGGCTCGTCGGCGATATCCCGCCGGGCACGATCGGCCGGCTGAGCGAGCTCCGGGTCCTGAGCCTCCGCTACAACGGGCTCTCGGGTCGGGTCCCCTCCGACTTCTCCAACCTGACGAAGCTCCGCGGCCTCTACCTCCAGCACAACGCGTTCACCGGCGAGTTCCCGCCGGAGCTGACCCGACTGACCCGGCTGGTCCGGCTCGACATCTCGTCGAACGGCTTCTCCGGCCAAATTTCATTCGCCATCGACAACCTGGCCAGCTTGACGGGCCTGTTCCTGGAAAACAACAACTTCTCTGGCGAGCTGCCGAGCATCAGTGCCAGCGGCTTGCGCAGCTTCAACGTTTCGAACAACCGCCTCAATGGCTCGATCCCCGCAAGCCTGTCCAAGTTCCCCGTGTCCGCATTCGCCGGGAACCTCGCCCTCTGTGGCAGGCCGCTCGAGCCCTGCACGCCGTCGCCGTCGCCGTCGCCGGCGGCGACCCCTCCATCACCTCGGAAGCAGCGCAACAGACTCTCCAGAACAGCGGTCATCGCCATCGCGGTCGGATCCTCATTGTTCGTGCTCCTCCTGCTCCTGCTCCTCTGCTTGCTCTGCTGCAGAAGACGGCGGAGGCAGCCGGCGAAGCCTCCAAAGCCGCCAGCAGCGACTGCGGTGGGACGCGGTTCTGCGGCGGCAGAGGGCGTGACGTCCTCGTCAAAGGAGGACAACACGAGCGGGTCCGCAGAAGCTGCAGAGAGGAAACAGCTAGTGTTCATGGGAGGTACGAGCCGTAAATTCATTTTTATCTACACGATTGATAATTACAAAAACATACATCGACAGGGGGTCTTAAAGTTAACGTGAATTGATACGAAACTGAAATCGCAACGCGAAATTCAAATTAGCCAAATGTGGCAATGTTATGTTCAAGCAAACAAAAAATGTTGCGACACGAAAATGGACTCGACACCCAGAAATTTGATGCGCGAACGGGGAATTCGCAGGCCCAGGGGCTTTCGACCTGGAGGACCTGCTGAGGGCGTCGGCGGAGGTGCTGGGGAAGGGGGGCGGGGGGACGTCGTACAAGGCGGTGCTGGAGGAAGGGACGACGGTGGTGGTGAAGCGGCTGAAGGACGTGGCGGCGGGGAAGAGGGTGTTCGAGGAGCATATGGAGGCGGTGGGGAAGGTGAGGCACGACAACGTGGTGGAGCTGAGGGCGTACTACTACTCCAACAACGAGAAGTTGCTGGTCTTCGACTACTTCCCTCTGGGAAGCTTGGCTGCTCTTCTTCACGGTACGTGTGCTTCTTGTTCTTCACACGCTCATCTGGTTTACACGCGACTCTAGAAGTTCCTTAAGCGCCAGGGACACTTTATTCTTAAGGTTAAGAAATGATAATTCCAACCCGTGACGAAGATCGATTGAGTGATTAAGCGCTCGGTTCAGGTGCGGTAGATAATAGTTAGAGATTTTCCCAATTAAGTATGTTGATTGAGAGTATATAATTTAGAAGGAAATATATAAAAAACATGATTTCATCCAATGACAAGTACCTCTACTTTTTGTAAATGACTAGTTTCACTTTTCTTTTGGATTTGGAGATAATATTTCATGATAAAAAGATCAAATTGCCCTCTTTATAAATCCCCCCACAAACTCTATCCTAGTTTCGTATCTCCACGCCTCGACTGCACACACCTCCTTGGTCGCAGTGATAGCTCGTGACCTTGTTCTAAGGTCACGAGCCACCATGGGCCACCTCGACTGGGTGTCGGGTGTATTGTAGCCGGCACGGAGCGTAGTTGATGACGGCGAGTCAGGAGGCATCGGACATGGCAACAAGGGCTGTCGGCAGCAGCCGAGCTTACCATTTGACCTTCCTTCGAAGGGTTTTTGCATGAATGCGGGACATTTAAGATTCGGTCGGGGCTGTTTTCACCAACGAATCGACGTTCTCGCAAATGAGAGCTACTAGGATAACCGATGTGGACATGCAAATGCAAGTGGTAAGGCGGCGGCGAAACCTTAAATGTATTCATGGAACGAGTTCTATCCTCCACTCACTCACATCAAAACAAAAACCGAACACGCAATTGAAGGACCCAGCTAAAAGGGACCAGCTAAGGAGCTATTGCCTAGTCCACAGGATGCGTCCTTCGATAGCAAGAGGATGACGACGAGTCAAACCCAATCCTTAAACTCGTTTATTGTTCAACTGAGAACAAGGTGTGGTCCAAACGAGCAGTGTGCCATGAGCAGTGTACGGGCATCGTCTTGGTTCTCCGAGTCAATTTTGTCCAATTTGGGCTCCTTCCTCGTTCACCACATTTGATGATATTTGCTCAAACGAAGGATTACATGGTGGCAATTAACCATCCCCCGCCACCAACCTTCTCCTGCAGGTAGCAGAGGCTCGGGCCGGCCGCCACTCGACTGGGAGAACCGGCTGAGGATCGCCATCCACGCAGCGCAGGGCCTCGCCCATCTCCACTCGTCGTCGGTCAAGTTGGTCCACGGCAACATCAAGTCCTCCAACGTCCTGCTCCGACCCGACGGCACCGCGGCCGTCTCCGACTTCGGGCTCGGCCCGCTCTTGGGCCCAAACGCCTCCTCATCCACCCGGGTAGTAGGTAGGAGCGACGCTTTCCCGTTGCACGATGTTATTCGTTTTATTTCTTATCCTTGTTATGGCTTCGATGTATCATGTTCTCGCATCAAATTTTCTCTTTCTATGTCATTCTTGTGTTTGAGTCTCTCTCCCATGTTGTGCTTGAAATGTAGGCTATCGTGCCCCGGAAGTCAATGAGACGCGCAAGGCGACGTTCAAGTCCGACGTGTACAGCTTCGGTGTGTTGCTCCTAGAGCTTCTCACGGGGAAAGCGCCCAATCAGGCATTGCTCGGCGAGGAAGGTATCGATCTGCCCCGGTGGGTCCAGTCCGTGGTCACGGAGGAATGGACGGCCGAGGTTTTCGATGTGGAGTTGACGAGCGGCGGTTATCAGGAGGACGAGATGGTGCAGGTGCTGCAAATCGCGATGTCGTGCGTTGCCATCGTACCAGATCAGAGGCCTCGAATGTCGGAGGTGGTGCGTATGATGGAGGAGATGAGGACTAGGAGCGAAGCCGAGGAAGGGACCAGACCGCCGTCCGGCGATCCATCGAAAGGATCGGACGGTCACGCTCCACCTATAGAGATGAAAACCCAGCCTGTAGGATCCACATCTTGAGCTTCACATCCCTTGCAATTCAAAATGGATTTTGGAGTGTTTTGAGAGAAGGCAATTTTATCCATTCAAATCGGCCACCACATGAAAAGTTCTATAGGCTTGATAGAAACAAAGTAAGGAATTTTGTATAGCTTAGCATGCGATGATTAACTTGGATGAACGAGAAATTTGCGCTTAGATACTAGAAAATTTAAAAAAATTTCTCAAGGTATAAAAGATTTTCTGCAACAAGAGGAACTCAATGATCTAAACAGAGAAAGATATAACCTTCAACCATGGTCGTCTAGTTAATACCACTGCCATGGCGCCCGAGTCGTCTCCTTGGTTCTCCTTTTCTTCAACGTGTGGACAAGCACTCTTCACTAGTAATTACACATGCTCTGCAAAAACTATACACTTCGGCATGTCCTAGAGAAACGGCAACCTTTCAAGGTACATGCGATCTCGCAACTTCTGCAGATGCCGAAACACCGGCATCCAGGGAACTCCAATTTCGCCATCGACATGTCAGATGTTGTTCATTATAGTTTCGGCTGTCGAATCAGGAAGTCCCACGGTTGGAAAGTAAGGTGTTCACCCTCGCGAATCATAGGATGTTTGCAGGATTGTGCCGATCGCATTTCCACGTCTAACAACACCAACACTGCATATATCTCACTGATTTCCGCACGCGACCTGTCTCCGGCGAGGAACACGTGAACCTCTCCCCTGACTTGAATCCAACTGCTCCCAGGAGTCTTCCTTAGTCCTTTCGATTTCATGATTCCCCTCACCTTAGACACTTCATCCCACTTCCCCATCATTGCGTATGAATTAGAAAGTGCCACGTAATTTCCCGAGTTTTCGGGTTCCAATTCTCGCAAATGTTTGGACAAATACTCCCCAAGTTCGATTTCTCCGTGTTCTCTGCAACCAGCAAGCAAGGATCCCAGAATACGTGCATCTGGCTCATAAGGCATTGTATGCGACAAGTCAAATGCTTCTTCCAAATAGCCGCACCGACAGAGTAGATTCACCACACACCCGTAATGCTCGATACTCGGCTTCACATGGTAATTGGAGACCATGTCATTAAAAACGTCCATAGCTTCATTTAGCAGCCCAGAATGGTTGCATGCGGTCAAGACATTAGTAAATGTGATGCCATCTGGTTCGAGACCATCGTCTTTTAGATGTTTGTATAGTGCTAGGGCTTCATGAGCTCGACCATGTAGTGCATGACCCGAGATCATTGCATTATAGATTGCGGTATCTTTGATTAAGATTGTACCAAAGAACCTCTTTGCTTCCTCAGCATTTCCACATTTAGCATACATGTCTGTTAAAGATGTTGTGATCTTACAGGATGAAGCGAGGTTATGCCGCAAGACATAGGCATGGATGGCTCTTCCCAATCGAAGCGATGCCACATCTCTGCAAGCAGAAAGCACGCAAACAATGCACACGATATTAGGTCTAATACCAGCTTCTTGCATTTGCTGAAATATCTGAACTGCTTCGTCGCCAAAGCCATTTTGAGCCAGGCCAGAGATAAGGGTGGTCCACGTGAGCAAGTTGGGCCGAACACCGTGAGATTGCATCTGCGAGAAAAAGTTCTTAGCCTCGTTAACCTCTCCATTTCTCAGGAACCCGAGAATCAACGAGTTCCATGATATCAAATTTGGCAGCACCCCTTCTAGTTGCATCTGATAGAACAATTTCAAGGCCTCACCACTTGCACCGAGGTCAGCATAACCAGCGATCAGAGTATTCCACATTATAAGGTCTCTTCTTCTGGTAAAATCAAAAACGTCTCTCGCAGACTCGATTCTGTCACAAGCAGAGTACATTTCCATAATGCTACTCGAAACCACAACATCATCTTCGAGATTATTTCTGATACAATAACCATGAGCCTCTTTACCAAGTCTTATATCTCGTGTCTTGGCTGACGCAGAAAGCAGAGATGCTAACGTCACAGAGTCAAATCTCAAGTGTTCAAGTTTCATTTCATCGCACGTTTCCAGTGCCTTCTCCACGTGTCCATTTTGAACGTATCCAGATATAAGCAAATTCCATGTCACCACATCTCTTTCAACCATCCTGTCGAAAACCAATTCAGCATCCTCCATCAGACCACTCTTAGCATAAAAGTTTACAATGGAAGTACCTAGTATCTCATCCAGTTCTAATCCTGCCAAAACAGAAATTGCATGCCCCTGCATGCCCTCCTCGATGGCACCTATATTTGTCGATGCCGAAAGGAAGCTCGACACAGTAACTCGCGTGGGCTCGATACCTTCGACTCTCATATCATAGAACACATCCATCGCTTCCTCGTTCATCCCATTCTGAACATAGCCGACTATAATCGAGTTCCAAGCGACCGCATTTCTCTCAGGTATAGAATCGAACACCTTGCGCGCGTCCTCCAAAAGCCCACACTTCCCGTAAAAATCAACGAGACTACTCGCCACGAAGACACATCCGCCAAGACCCATCTTCTCCACATATCCATGAACCCCTTTCCCGAACCCAACCCGCATCAAAGCCCCGCACGCCTTCACCGCATTCGGGACCACGAAATTGTCCGGCGAAACACCATCTTCCCGCATCTCGCAGTACCCAACCAAGGCCTCCTCACAGAGCCCCACCCTACAGCGCAACCCCACAACGGCGGCCCACGAAAACACGTTTCGCACCCTCAGCCTGCAAAACAAAACATCCGCAGCGTCCACAGCGTCGCACATCGCATAAAAAATCAGTAATTTCGTCTCAATGTACTCGCTCCTCGCGAAGGACTCACCGCTCTTCACCACCCGAGCGTGCACCTGGCGGCCCGCCGACAGAGCCCGCGCGCGCACGCACCCCTGCAGGAGCTCGCCGTACACCTCGGGCCCGGGCCGGACGTCCCGGAGCTCCATCTGGGTGACCAGGTCCACGGCCTCCTGGACCCGGCCGTCCTTGCAGAGCGCCGACACGCCGGCGAAGCGAGACTTGCGGGCGACTCTACGGTCGATCTCTGCATCCGAGGAAGGATTGGCGAAGTGGGTTTGAGTCGAATTGCGAGGATTTTGGATCTTGGCATGCCTGGGCAGTGAAGGTTGTGGGGTTGGTGTGGTCTTGAGCGGAAGAGAAGCCATGCATGCATGGGAGATGGAGAAGAGGAGATATGGCTGGCTATGGCGAGCGTAGCTGGCTGCCACAGAAAGCGGGAAGGTCTTTCTCGTCCATCCGTAAATATCTGACCGGAAAAGTCCAATTTTTTTTTGTTGAGGTATCAAATAAAGAAAAATTCATATACCGTGTAGTTAATATTTGGATTAATACCACTAAAAACTACAAATAGGTACATCCGTGATAAATTTACCATTCGTTAGTTTCCGTTAAATTTTATCATTAAATTGCTGAGTTTGATAATAAGTGGCAGTTGACGGATATACCAGTCTGGGGTTTTACTCATCCGTTTGTCACAGGTTTACTAATTTGTGACTTTTCGTGGTATTAATCCAATTTAACGGAGGGTAAATTTGTCACAAGTATACCAGTTCGGGGTTTTTGGTAGTCAAAAAATTAGTTTTGGGTAAATTTGTCACAAGTGTACCAATTTAGGATTTTTCGTGATATTACACCCTTAATATTTTGAAAAAATTGAAATATTTTAGGCTTAACAAGTGTCTCGTGTTCTTTAATGGCCTTATACTCTAAAAAGAACTCTAATTTTAGCTCTAGTCTCAATTCTATCCGGATTCAATTCAATAGCAGACCATAAATAACTGCTACATTGTTGTTTGATTTATGCGGTGCGGGCATAGGTATAAACTGCGTTAGTTGGGTGCATCGTATCCTCGGAATTAGAAGCAATCGAGCCTAAGAATTGCATCAAGATCCAACAAATTAAAAAAAAAAAAAGGAAGAAGACCAGAGGAATGTTTTCTCTTACTCACACTCCTCTATTTCTAAGAAGGGCCACAAGGCAACGAATGAGAAGTTACAAACCCAGAATCTTCACCCAAACCAGTACACAAGAACAGGAGAGAAATCAAAGACAGAGATCTAGGATGGAGTCCACAACTTCCAAAGCACAGATTTGCTTGTAGTGTTGTCAATACTCCTACGTACTTCATCTGCAAAAGCAGAGACGTAATGAAAACTAATTGCACTGTCAAAGTAAACAATCAGCGATGCACTCAGCTTAAGGCAAAGTGGCTCTCTTCAAAGTCCCACAGAATTTTGTTGAAAAACCTGGGATTTTGACTTTCCTCTTTTAAACACTCAGTTTCCTCAACCTGTCCCTCCTACATTGATCATGAATTAAGTTGATTTGGCATTGCAATCTTAAAACTTTATATCCCCCTCAAGCGAAAATTAACCAAAAACTCTCCGCCTAAATTTTCTAAAAATTATATTGATAGGTTAAAAAAAAAATAAAAAACTCTACACTTTCACGACGAGTAGTTGAATAGTAGACATCAACTACGAGAGCTCAATAGGCTATTAGAAGATGGCACACGATATATGAAGGATTAATCGCACAGACATGTACCTTTTTCTTGGTATGTCCATAACAAACATCAATTAGAACCATTCTTTTGACAAGCGTTATTAACCTTAATCACACATAGGAAAAGCATGGAATTACTATAGTCTATTGGGCTGCGCATTTGGCCCATCGGGTCATAACGTGTTGGGCTAGGCAAGACCCAGTCACCCGAGATGAAAGGTCCACGTGACAATTGATGTTGATATCCAAGCTGCTTTTCAGTTGGACTTATCTTAGCTGCAAACACTTCCAGTGCTTTTTCAGTGTGATTGATTAATGGACAAGTTGAAAAGAATGGAGAGAATCCTCACGATTTGACTAATTCTATAGAAATCAAACTGAGAAAATTCGTCCACAGCGAGAACAAAACAATGAAATTATTCATGATAAACCCTTGCAATAATCGAAATCGACCCTAAAAGAAACGACGAAATTCGAAAGGGCTGAAATGGCGCACACTAGCGCGCCAAAATTACAAGGCAACATCCGAAAAAACATATGGAAGAAGTGCATTTCCAGGTCGAAAATGAGGTCAACGGTGCCCTCTAGAGACAGTACTAGTAGGGTGAATGGTTCTAGGTTAGAACCTAGAACCTACTCCGTCAAAACCGGTTCCCTAGTTTTTGGAACTTGGAACATATCCCACATAACCTGAAACCTGTAACTTACCCTATCAATCAGTTCTAGGGTCAATACGGGAACCGGCCAACTTTTTTTTTTCATTTTTTTAATATTTAGTTAAGCAAAATAAAAATAAACACAACAACAAAAATCTTCATTTGTCAATAACAACAATCCATAAAAAATGAACACGTAAAATAAAATAAATAATTAAAAGTTCAAAACACATAACCACAGTTTATTGGTTTCTAGTTCCCGGTTCCATTCTTTGGTTCCCGGTTCCCAATTTGGTTCTTACCAAGAAATCGGGAACCGAACCGCGCAGTACTGGTTCCACTTTGTTTGGAAACCGGATCCGAATCGGTAATCGCGGGAACCTGGAACTTGATCAGTTCCTATGGCTGGTTTGGTCCGGTTCTCGATTCTACCCTGAACCCATACTTACCTCTAGGGGTTAGTGGGTTTACCTCCATAAGCATTCTCGATTTGATCTTTTGGGCCCCATAACTCCATCAAACTAAAAATTAGCCTATCAAAACAACAATATTGGTCGAATTTGATTTAGTTTCGGACTTGTTTAGTAGGCCTAAATTTATTTGTACCCTTTCAAAAAACTCTTCAGCGACCACAATGACTTCACCTCTTCATTCATGTTAGTCAAGAGCTAATCCCAATCCTAAGACAGTGAGATCGATGTTTCAAAATGGCTGACAAGGAAATCGCGTGTCAAACTTTACCGGATGCTTGAATGGCCAAACTTCAAGAATCACTCACAACTCATCGCAGTAGTATCTGGTAAATCCCATTCAGTTTACAAATTGTAGCATACCCAATATCATCGATTACAAAATTTCAAATTGGGGTTTTCAAATTAGGGTTTCTGTGTGCGCCCGAGAGAGATACAGAGAGGACGTTGATAAGATCAAGAAAAACTTGCACAGTGCCTACACGTTTATATATTCCATCACTCACTGGCGACCACTTTCGAAGAGCCTGAGGAAAGCAGGTAATCCCCCCCCTGTAAAGTTGCAATCAGAATCCTATGATAGACTCCCAAAAGAAACAACACACACATCCCCATTAGAATACCAAAAAACTTCCCACGATAGGCATAAAGAATCGGGCCTCCTCGCCCAAAGAATATCAAGAAGATAGTGCATGAGTTCCGCATTATGTTCAGCCATGCAGCGACTGACACCTTACGTGCGGTATCGGTTCAACGGTGGAAGAGAACTTATATCGCGTACTTTGTGTTGACGCCCGTGACAGCAATAGGTCAAAACTCAAATGCTTGTTTAAATGTATGTATGTACATATATATATATATATATATATATATATATATATATATATATATATATATATTTGTATATTGAGAGAAAAGTGGGGTTGTCTTCAAGAAGACTTGTACAAATGTTGCCTTTCTCCAATTCGGAAAATTCGTCTTTTGGTAAGAGGCCGACCAAAGCGATTCTAATTCCATCCTCCACTCTCTTTGGCTTCAGATGCTAAAAAATTTTTATTCACCCATCATCCCAATTCCTATCTTTTGGTCAAACATGTGCAAATGCAAGTACTCGAAGGAAAGGGCTTGTGATCGAATGGAGCTCCACCGCATAGCACGCTAAGGGGGACCCTCAACTCCAACCGTTGGATTTGGGTGGAAAATGAAAGGATTAATCGTGCAAGCTCGATCGAGCAAATGATTTTCTTATGCTTAAGAAACGATAAATGGATGAGTATATAAGAAGACCTAATATTTTTAGCGAGAGTGCAATTGAGAATCAACTTGGGTTTTTTTAATATTTTGACGTTTAGAAAGCGGCTTCTTTTGCTCTTTTTAGTAAGAAATTTCTCATTTCTATGAGCTTAGTTTAGTGGTTAAGGATGATACGAGTATATGGATGGAAAGAACACGGTAAATGTTTGGTTCTTGACCCCCCAAACTGAATATTTTCCGGTGTTTGTTTAAAGGGCCACTCATTTAGGGTTTTTTAGCTTGCGCCTTATAAAAAAAAACTAAGGGGTAAATTATTGGAGTATCTTATGGGCCCAATATTTACCTCACTTGATATGTAGTTTCTTTTTACTAAGCTATGTTGGTTGGAGGGATTCAGAAAGAAGTATAGGAATTGAAGAGGTGATTTTATAGATCAATTCATTTGGTTTATTCGGGTGAAACGAGAGAAATTATATGTAGGTGCTTCTTGAATCCCTCTTAATATCTCTTTAGTCAATTAATGAGTTGTAAATCACTCAAAAAGTGAGATGACTCGAATTGATGAGTATCGTCCTTCATTTCTCTTCCCATCTAATCACTCCTACTAAACATAACATAAGCTTAATCACTTCTATTCCGGATGCAAATATGCTGTCACTTGTTCTAGTCCCGTTTGTTGTCTTTATCGTATTATTCGTCCATCCAATTCTAATTCTCACCACAAGTACCTCCAATACCCCCACTAAACCCTAGCTCACAACCCCTCGAACCCCCCCCCCCCTCCCCCGGCACCCTTGCGGCTGCCGCCGCCTTAGATAGGAGGTCGAGCGACTCGAGCCCTTGAATTTGGAGGTGTCGGGTCCTCACCGGTCGAGTGGGAACTCGATACCAGCATTGGCGGATTGGCATCCTTTGACTGCGTTCTCTCTTCCTTTTTTTTGTCACCACGGTAATCAGCAAAACCCCTTCCTGTTCTCCCTCATCACTTCATTCAGAAACAATGTCGAGATAAACTCACGGTTCAAAAGCGTGGGGGGCAATCGAAAAGGAGAAACGAAAGACAAGAGCACAAAGCATCATCTCATTAAGATAACTCTCGAGAATCCAAATAATTTCAATCCACCCCCTACAGCTAGCCATCAATAGAAAATCGAAAAAATTCCGATGCTCCGATTTGGAATCTAATCCAAAATTGTGGGTGCATGGAATTTAGCAGAACCATTGAAAGAGTTTCTCATCCTCATCCTCATCATCATCATCATCATCAACCCAAAAAAGATAGAATTTTTTTTTAAGCTCGTTGATGGATTCTTCGTAGAAACCTCACCGCCCGTAAATGTACTCATCATAGTCTTAGCTTTCCGTAAAGCCCTGGAATATCTCATTTAAATGCAACATAAAGGCAATGTCAGTCCATACTCCTCTCCTCTTTTCCCTTTGTTCTCTCTTTCTCTCTCCCTTTCTTTTTTAAGTATAAAATCATATTCCCACTTTCTCAAACCAAGTTGGACGGAATTTTTTCGAATTTTGAATTCGTGGTCTTCCTTGGGGGGTCGATTCAGAAACCCTAATTGATTATTGGATTCACGAGAATTAGAATCTTGATGTTTTTTCTTCCTTTTACTCGTGTTAAAAATTTAGTCGCTATTCCGTTTAATCGGCATCAATCTCGTCACGGGCATAAACGATTGGTCTCTGCCGTCTCTGAATTGTCGATATAATTACATGATGCGGTACTCGATAGATGATTTTTATATGAGATACGTCTCCTTCTCGAGGACTAGATGCCGACAGGAGACCGGAATATTAGGGCAGAAACGAAATGATCTCGATTACTTTACTAAAAATCGTGACCTAATTTTTTTTGGCCCAAAAAAAAATGAAAGACCGAATTGACAATGGAGCATTTAGCTGCCACATATGTTGTCACCCCTTTATTTCATTCGTGGAGTGGAAGTCTTTATTCCTATTCTGGTCTCTGATCCCCACTGAGAAAGTCTGCTAGTAACCCTAATTAATTTATTTGACACTTTTTAAGTTGTGAGAAAATTGAAGAGAAAAGGTTTCGGACCTAATTTATATATAGGCTCCTCCGGCAATAATATAGGGGCTATTTTTTGTTCACTAAAATGAAAATACGAGGACCAAAGTTGATCATCTTTGGAAAGTACTGGGACCAAGAATTCAATTATGTTAGATGCTTGTACATACGCGTACGTGCCACGTATTAATAGTCGGTGCTGACTTCGCAATTTTTGGGCAAATTTCGAATGTAAATTTGACGGAATGACTAGAGAATTAAAAATGACTAGAGTTTTGAACCACTTATAAACCTGTTAAATTGTATGATGATAGCATATTATTAGGTATAATGGATAAAATTTGTTTTTTAACCAGGCCAATTACAGACAAGTTACGTAAATTCTAAATTCTAAGACACGTTCCGGAATTTTTTTTATATAAATCTTCCTCATTTATTGCAACTACTTGAAACTATTATGTAAAATCAATAAATCTTGTACAAGATAGTTGTTTTTCAAACTTGTCCTACACTTCAATCCTAAAACTTTAATTTCCATCACGATAAGTCTTCAAACTTATTATAACTTCGATCCACTTTGAGTCCTTCCCTCAATCACACAAAAAATTACAAAATTACAGTTTTAGAATCAAACTGAACGAACTTCACAAATTTTAGAACTTGCCCCATAATTATCACATGATGACTGTGATCGTGTGGCTCGAACCATTGTACCATTTTCAACATGTTCAAACATGCCGAACAGATTAATGTGTTCCTCATACGCAACACATTAGAATACATTCAGACACTCTACATGTGGAAGCGTCTCTACGAGTTTGTTTGCATAGGAGTTCACATATTAAGAGCTTAAAAACGCGCCATGTGGAGTTGCGCGTGATTCGGAAACATCGTGTTCGGGATGACATTGAGCAGAAAAAAAAAAGCCTCGGAGACTGTGTTACACAACGGATGAAAATTCAAACCCATCCCATCATATTACGAATAAAGAGCGAACGTATCTTTCAAAAATAAATGGGTCTAGAAAAGACTCAGGCCCGCCGGACCCGTCGGGCGATCCGGTGGTCCATTCGAGCCCCCAACCCCGCCACCACTTGCGGCCATCTTCAGCTTCCACCAATTAGCAAGAACACATGTTGTTGTTTTTTCAGTTGCTGGAATTTTCCGGCACAAACCTCGGTGTCGATTTTCTACAAGGATTTCCCCATTCCCCAAAGAAAAAAGTAAACAAGAAAACGAAAACAAAATATAAAAAAAAAAAAAAAAAACGGCAGGAGGAGGAGGAGGGGGGGAATATTCTCACCCGGATTTTTGCTCCCAGACAAAAGGGATATTCAGAAGGACGATATGGGGGAATATAGCGCCACGTGTCACGAGGGGAATCTCTTTTTACAGCTCCTCTCTCTCTCTCTCTCTAGAGAAAAGGGGAGGGTTGGAGGCTTGTACGAGAAGGGTGGCGATGGAAAGCGACCAACCATCATAATTGCTGGCTCAGGGAATTTGATGCACTTCCCTTCCCTCGTCCCCCTTTTGCCTTTGCCTTTTCCTTTCGTGCGAAAGGCGTGTGTGTTCCTCCTCCTCCTCCTCAATTCTCGTCTTAACCCCTAAACCAGAAAAAAAAAAAAAAGGGGGGGTGAAAAAGAAGAAGACATTACAGGTAAAAAGAGGCGAGTTACTGTTGCTGCTGCTGCTGCAGCAGCAGCAGCATGTGAGTTTAGGGTTTTGGGCCTTATGCTCGAGCGGGTGTCAAGATTATCGTCCCATGATCAAATGCCATTCATGCTCAGCTGCTCATCCCTCGGTTCCTAGGCCTCTTGGTGTGTGTGTAATGCGTATAGACACGTATGTACGCGTGCGTGTACGTGCGCGGGTTCGAATGTACAGATACCGTAGCAATTCACGACCCTTTTTACTTCGTTTTCGAAGGCTTTGCCTAAACTCATGTGCATATGTTGTCGGGACATTGCACCATGCATCATCACATATTCCTGCTAGAGGTTGGGAGATCCTCTGCGTCGATAGATATAATACCCTTCCTTAGGATAGGAATAGTGAGACGATTTGCACTCACTATAGATTGATAGGATCCTCATCCTCACTTGTACTTAGGGTAGCAATGAGTTTCCTGACCCTTATGGAGCGAAACCAGCCAAACTCATATGAGGAGTACGATATAACTTATGAGAAGTGACGCCGTCGATTCTTATATTGGATGCTTAGATGAATCAACTGAACTTAAAGAATCGCTCGCGATTTGTCACGTTACTTTGTAAGCTAACTTAGTCTCGTATCCCAAACATTACACAATAAACGAGTCATTAAACTATCTTTTACTTACTTGGTCTAAAAAATTAAATAACTCATAATATGTAAAATAAATGTCGCTGTACATACGTAGACACGCACACACATACACACGCACAAGCATATCTACATGGATTAACAAATTCATTAGTACGCAGTCAAGATTATATTCTAATAATATACAGGTATTTCCTCGGAACCAATCAAGATTCATTGATATATTCACCAAGCCAATGTCAAGTCAAGCACGCCCAAATGAAGACACCTTTAGATGTAGCAAAATACTTCATGAAATACAACCAAGATGCCCTGAAACCCTAAATTATGCCGACACATTGAGCATAATATTATAATTTTACTAAAGTAATAACAGAAGAATCTTTGTTACCTTCCAACCCACTTCATTAAAGCTAGTAGCAGAAGAAGATTCCCAGTTCTTAGCCCCCTTTATTATTCTTTTTTTAGAGATGATTCTTTATTTAAACTTTCCTTTGCTTGGACCTTTAAGCTTTTTTGTGTGTGTGTGTGTGGGTGCGTTCCCTTAATTTAGAGTCGTAGAATTGGAACTAAGATATTCCTTCCTTGAAAGACAATATATTATTCTTTATGATGAATGTTTCATGCAGATTAGATATTCTCTTTTTCTCTCTCTCTGAATGCACTCAAATTTAGAACAATCATGCAAACTTTTGAAGCCTAAAAAGAAAGTTGCATGGTGTATTGATACATAGCACCATTTGAATATGTCCTCTCTCTCTCTCTCTCTCTCTCTCTCTCTCTCTCTCTCTCTCTCTCTCTCTCTCTCTCTACGAATATTAATGTGGGTAACAAAACATAATGGATATATAGTATATGCTAAGCTAGCTCCCTCCAAAGGACATGTATATACATAAATAATGATAATCATGGTAGAATCATCGATAATATTATACATATCATTAAGAAGGAATAGAGAAGGCATTTGCGAGGACAGCATATAAGTACTACTTGGCCGTACACGTGTCCAACATCTAATGCCTACTTAGTATTCCTGGGTAGACTTTTCATTCTCATAGCACTTAATCTTGATATATGTCATTTTGATCCTCAACCATCGTATCGACACACCTTTTCTTTCTTAAAGCATTAATTTTTTTTTATATGTGTTGGACGAGCCCGCCCGCACATACATAAGCTTCATTTTGCGAAACTTCATCATTAACCAATCGAAACCTCTGGCTTTCATATGATTACGATTATCATGCTGGAAACAAATCGATAGGAATGCATCTTGATGAATGTAAAACAGGGAGGGTTATGGGGTTTAAGCTAGGACTATATACACTTTGAGTAATTAAAGGCTGATTTAACAGACATAGTGTTGCGATGGACTTTAATTGGGAGGGATTCATGGGTAAGAGGGACCAAAAGACAAAAGGAAAGCCAAAAAAAATTGAAAAAGAGAGAGAAAAGCAAAATAAAGGACAGCAGGGGCTAAGAAGAAGAAGAATCATCTTTTGTTTTTGTGATTTGAATTCGTACAAAAGAGAGGTTCTCCCAAGTAAAGACCAGGGCCTGAAGCACATGACTCCTCCTCTCTGGTGTCAGAGCCCCTTTGATTCTCTCTCTCTCTCTCTCTCTCAGAAAGACCAACCTCACGCATTTTTATTTTTCAACTTTTCTTTGCCCTTTGTTTTTCTTTGCAAGAAGTTACCATCCCCTTGCTTTATCTATCCTTGCTTTTCCTTTTCCCATCTCTCTCTCTCTCTCTCTCTCTCTGAGAAGAGCCCTACTTTATTCCCTTGAACTCACCCCTAAAAGAGAGGTGATCCTCTCTCGATCCTCCTTGTGTTCACAAACCTACACCATCTCTCTTTTCCTCCCTCTCTCTGTCTCTCTCTCTCTCTTATCATCATCATCATCTCAAACCTCAGAAAGGGAAGAGTCCATACGCACCCTTTTGCTCTTGTTTGTTCCTACACACACCCAAATAGCTAATTCTTATTCTTATCATAGGACCATCTGAGGACAAAGCACAGTGCAGTTGATACACATCATAACAACTGTAGGCTTTGCGTGCGTGTTCGAGAATAACTATGGCTTCTCCTTCTGAACTAACCCTAGAGTGCAAGCCCCAGAGCTATTCCATGCTCCTGAAGTCGTTCGGCGACCACGCTGCGGACCAGACCCAGAAGCTCGAGGAGTTCCTCGCTCGCCTCGAGGAGGAGCGCCTCAAGATCGACGCGTTCAAGCGCGAGCTCCCACTCTGCATGCAGCTCCTCACCAATGGTAATCCCAATAGTGTTGTGTCTACGCATGCACATATGCAAATGCATATCGTTTGCATCGATGTGAGTCGGGCCCAGTGAAACGGAATTGTCCACGCACACGTCTCAAGATTCATTTCAAAGAGAAAAAAGATTATGGTTAATCGGTGCATGCATATTCATGTTCCATAGTTTTGAGTGCCAATCTTTTAACCTTTTCCTTTTTTGGGGCTTTTCTTTTCATTTTATTGAAGTTGGAGATTGGCTTTCTTTGGCGAACTAATACTTTCCTTTTCGCTTGTTTCTATGAATAATCCAAAGTAGAAACTATGCTAATTTTTTAACCCTTTTGCGAATATATGCCTATGTTCATACATGACAAAGATGGGTTTTTTTATGATTTATTTTATTTCCTTTCTAATAAATTTATTTCATCAATCAAAATTTTAGAACTTTTTTTTATGTGTTGCAGCTGTAGAAGTATCAAAGCAACAGCTTCAAGCCTACAGAGCAAATCAAGGACCAAGGCCAGTTCTTGAAGAATTCATACCATTGAAAAATTCATCATCTGAAGGCTCTGAGAAGACACCAAACCTATCTGACAAGGCAAACTGGATGACATCTGCTCAATTATGGAGCCAAACAAGCAATGATAACCCCAACAAGCAACAGTCATTGGCGCCTAAAGAAATCGACATCGGCTTCAACGTTAGCCCGAAGATCGGTTGGGACAACAAACAGAGGAACGGAGGAGCCTTCCTTCCGTTCTCCAAGGAGCGCAACGGGTCATGCCCAAGCCCAAGCTTGAGGGCTCTTCCCGAGCTCGCTCTTGGCTCGCCCGAGAAAGAGACGGAAGATAAGAAGTATCTGGAAGCTGAGAATGCCAACGGTGTCTCGTGCGCGAGAAGAGACAGTTGCAGTAAAATTGGCAATGGTGTTCTGGTAAACGAAATGGGAAAAGGAGTCGTGAGTTCCACAGAAGTGCAGATTCCGGCGACAGCTAACGCTTCGACCAATAATTCGACGGCCGCAAATGGCCAGACTCATAGAAAGGCAAGGCGGTGCTGGTCGCCGGACTTGCATCGAAGGTTTGTAAATGCCCTACAGATGCTTGGCGGCTCTCAAGGTACTACAGGAATTTCATCATGAACATATATGTATTTGGATATTGCAGGTGAAAAACCCTAGTTGGATACAAATTTGACATTTACGTTCAAGTTTTCTTTTTGGGCGCACTGAATACACATGAACCTTTTCATGGTAGCCATAACATTTTTGGACTAACGTGGAATTCCCTTATCACACAAGAAACTATGTTTCAACAAAGAACATTGGGCTGTTGCGTGCACGTCATCAACTCCATCATTACAGTCAAACCACCATACTCTTTCCATGCATCATTGTTGCAATCATTAATTATATGAGTGGGCCTAATTTTCTTTTTTGTGTCTGTGGTTCATGAACAACCAGTGGCCACCCCAAAGCAAATCAGAGAGCTGATGAAGGTTGACGGTTTGACTAATGATGAAGTTAAAAGCCATCTCCAGGTACATCTCTCTGCCTCTCTCTCTCTATGTCTCTTCTATCTCTCTGTCTCTCTCTCTCTCTCAAACATGCCAAACCTGTGATAAGAACAGACCTTTACTATATCAAACTGACAACCTCAGAGAGAGACACAAAAACATTTGTACTATAATTCAAACTGACATCTGAAGAAGAAGCACAGCTTGACCTATCTTTTCTTTTCTCCCTTTTCTTTGATTGGTGAACACAGAAATACAGGCTTCACACCAGACGACCCAGCCCAAGCCCACAAGCAGCCGGCGCCGCCGGTCCGCAGCTGGTGGTCCTAGGTAGCATCTGGGTACCGCCTGATTACGCGACGGCTGCGGCCGCCGCCGCCGCACATGGCGGCACTCCCCAACTGTATGGCGCCCACCCGACTGGCCATGCGTCGCCTCACTACTGCACGCCTCCTGCTATGCCGCAGGAATTCTACTCCACGGCAGCGGCCGTGGCGCACCACGAGGTGGTGCACCACCACCCCCTCCACGGCCACCACCACCAGATTCAATTGTACAAGGGGACTTCTCATCCCCAACCACAAAGCTCGCCGGAGTCCGGGATGAGGGGCGGCGGCGGGGATGGCCAGTCGGAGAGCATCGAGGACGGCAAGTCGGAGAGCAGCAGCTGGAAGGGCGACAGCGGCGATCACGTCAACAACGGTGGAGATCAAAGGAAGGGATTGATCACCATGAGAGATGACAACAACGAGGAGAGTAATGGAAGTGAGATTACTCTCAAGTTCTATGACAAATAAAATTTTCATGCTAGGATTTTAGGGTTTTAGTTTTTTTTTTTATGAAGATTTTCTTTTGGTTTTTGAATTTTTATTGTTGTTTTTATTATTCTGATTTTTATGTGCAAATATCTAGAGAGGGTTAAAAAAGGGGGTGCATAATGGCAAAAAAGGGCAAGCTTGTCATGTTTCCTCGATATGTTTCATGTCCTTTTGGGAAGAAAATAGAAAGATTGTATTTATATGGACGCTTTGGCATTTTGTGTTATTCTCTTGTTTTTTCTTGACTTATTTGCTTATTTGCCACTATATAGATAGATAAATTTAATTTGAAATTGTATTGACCCACAACCTCAAGAAAATGGCAACTTAGGAGTTAGGACCACAATTTGAGGGAATCTTAAGTGGATGATGTCGGTATGAGATGAGTAGATATTCCTCTAGTTCCATTCTTATCCATCAAGCCAATCGCAAGAAAAGAAATGCTTGTGATTTACGGTACATCTCGCGAAAACTATATCGAGCTTAGTTTATATTCACATTGGTTATAAATTGAAATTAACAATATCGTTTTTCTTTAACCTCCTCTATGTCTTTTGTACAAATTATTTACTCGGTTGTTTATTTATGTTTTATTTATTTCGCCAATTCCTTGAGTTGTGATTGATCTTACAAAGTTTCACACGGTTCAACAAAAAGCACTCATTTGATGAGAGATAAGGTGAATTTGTGAAAGTTCCTCAACCTGGACAACCTCATTCAAAAAAGGAAGAGATTAATTATCTTTGAGGAAAGTCGTCTTAAAAAAGGGCATTTTTTTTTATTCTTTTTGTTTTTGCTTTTAGAAATTGTAAGCACGGTCTTTCGACTTGACCAAGAAAGAGATTACTCTCAATATATTAATCCCATTCAAATGAGAGAAAATCCGGAATAATCGAGGGTTAACATGAAATTTCAAAAGGCAAAAACCCTATAATTCACAAATTTCTAATTAATTAAGGCTTTGACACACACACACACACACAAAAAATTGCCCACCATTCATCAAATTTGATGAAGGGAAAATTAAAAGGGGAGGCTCTTCAAAAGAAGAGACACCGAAAGAGAAGAGCTTTTTTCTTTGCTTGGATTTCTTTCCAGCAGCTTAGACTCAGATAAAAACAAATAAAAATAAAAAATTTACATTTTTCTCGAAGCACAAGACTAAGTTCACTTTCTTCCTCATCCCTTTGCCTTTCTTTTCTTCTTCTTTAGTTTGATCTATAAACAGTGCCTTTAACTAAGCTTTGGAGTTATAGCATTCACACCTTAAGCCGTTGATAAAAGTTAAAGTGCACATTCCCCAATTTAATCCACGCAAAAACACAATGAAATAAATATTTCTTGGTATCACCTAAAATTGCCCTTCTTCAAGTTCTATTGCCTAAACCTTGCTGGGTTTTGCAGGGACTAAAATGTCCTTTTCACCCGCTCGCATGTCTAGGTGTATACACCTGACGGCCTGATAGGACTGCGTTCCTTATTTTTATGTGCCAGTGCCTGCATGTCCAACCTCCCAATTAGGGAGAAAGTTTTTCTTCCCTCTCCCTAGAGAATACCCCTGTATTTTACGTCAAAAAAATCAGACGAAATAGTTTAAGGACTTACTTAACTCCGGCCCTTCTTCAGTTTCTATTGCCTTAACCTTGCTGGGTTTTGTAGGGACTAAAATGTCCCTTTCACCAATTCAATGTGATGCTTACGTTGTATTTAAAAATTTCTTCTTATGGAATGGAGCCAGCTCCCCTAATTTGTTTTTGTTCCGGCAGCACTAATAAACGTAAATTTCATTCGGTTTTTACTCTTTTGAAATTACGAAAAACCATTTCACAAAATGTCTATTCTGACGGTGATCATAAATGTAAGTTCCGTTCAAATTTTGTCTCTTTCGTAATTAGAGACATCATTACAGTTTAGAATTATTTTCTTTTGAAATACTCTCCTCTTCTCAATTTTCCATATTCAATTATCGGGTGGCAAGTTACATGGAGAAGTAAACGGAAATCTAGCAAATGGTGCAAAAAAAAAAAAATGGAAGATTGGTCTAAATTTCATTTTCTTTTCTTTACCACAAAGACAGAAGCAACCTTGGACACAATTACCAAAACACCCCCACCACCTTGTTCTGATATTGGGCTCCGGGCTTATTTTTCCCATTCCCATTTGAGCCCAAAACCATAGACCCGATTGTTCTGATTCTGGGCCTCCATCTTTCAGCCTTATCTTAGGTTAGCTAATACAAAAAAAAAAAAAAAAAACCTTGTTTCTCTTCTTAATTGTCACCGTAATTAGTAATTTAGACATTTTCCGGAGTCGATGCGATGTAGAATTAGATTAGGTTTACAGGAGATGATTACGTAATTAAGCGCATAACCGGATTATCGCTTGGAAATTCCACGAAAAAAAAGGAAAAGACAGATAAAATCTTTATTTCACAAAGAAAACTAAACCATGACATACAAAATTTTATTTACATGTCTCGTAAAGCACTAAAATAAGAAGAAACAAACGAGAAAAGTGAAGCATCTTTCTTTAACTAGTTTCCTCCTCCTCCTCCTCCTCGTCATTTGTTTCTTAGTGTCGAAGCACAAGACTAAGCACAAGAAGAACCAAAGACTAAGGGCTTGTTTGTTTCGCGGAAAAACCAATGATAAAGGAAAATGATTTCTCGAAAAACATTTTTTTGGAATACAGGTTTTTCCTTTTTTTCATTGATATATGATCGAAATCGTTTTCTGATGTTTGGATTTTATTAGAAAATGATTTCAATCTCGTGATTTTATCTCAGGTAAAAAAAATCAATTTGTTTTCTTTCTTTCTCTTTCCCTTCCCTTTCTGCTAATCACCAATCATAGGCCATGGCCGATGAGGGCTGGCTTCACCTCGACAAGGGTCACCCTCGCCTGCCACAAGCAAGCGTCGGCCTTGCCAAGTTGCGCCTTGGCGAAGGTGAGCACCGGCGAGGCCCCCTTCACCAAAAAATGTCCATCTCAGCACTATTCGTGCCACCTAGGACGACCGATGTCCACGTTAGCAATTTATGGCCTAAATTGACCGGATGGATTATAACTATAGTGGCCCAACTAAAAGATTTATGACTAAATTGGTATCAATACAATAGGTTTAGAACTTTTTTGATATTTTTCCCGGACTCGGACCACAGCGTGTGGTTTGCTCCTTCATGTACCCTGTCTTTTGTCATAATACTTTTCCACTTTGCTGCCCAGCCAGATCACCCTTTGAGTGTTGGGGTCTTTGAGAAATATGAATTTTACATATACTTCCCATTAGGTTATATTGCTCACAAAAATTAAGGCTGGCAAAAAAAATATTTTTCATTGATTAATTTTTTTAAGTGACATAATTTATTATTTTTTGAAAAATATTTTCTAAATCCTGAGTTTTTCGTGGAACAAAGGCACCCATTAGATTATAATGCAAAATCATCAATTACCCAATAGGTTATAGAATTGATTTCGCAGATGTGATTATTGTGAGTTTTGGTATATTGTTTCGACTACGATTTGGACATATGTATTCTTCACCTTAGGCTTGATGTATGGGATTGATCTAATCTAATGCGAATGATGCACATTAACCCAGAGGGCGTATATGCGCAAGAATTCTTTGCATCAAATTTGAGATTTGAGGGTTTGAGCCAACGTTCTCGTTGGAAGAACATGCAAGTTTCGATTATGTTGCATTTGATATCGGCTAATGATAAATTTCTTACGCAAATGAAGACTCATTCGAATCGAATCCGATGGATAACGATTTGAATCCAATTTTGCTTTCTCCATGCTCACTTAAGTTTGCTTCGGTCTGTGAATACGACATGCTTGAGTTACATATTAAACTGTAAATATTCTAGGATCTTCAAGAGAGAGGAAAATAGAATCAATAAATACTACATTTCACTCAATTGGCATGACTTTACAAGTAATTAGAGGAGGGTATTTATACCCGAACAATATGCATAGGAAAGGAAATTAGCTATCTTAGATAATCATGAAATATTAAATAACATTCCCAATATCTAATAATCTCTCTAAAATTATACTCTAACAAGAAAATCTCTAATGTCCGTAAATATACTTCATCACTCCCCCTCAAACTGGTGCATCCAGCTTGCAGATGATTGGTTCAACTTTCTTTGAAAGAAAGTGATCAAGCATTGTGCAAGCCGGACCTTACACTAAACAAACCAGATTTGACAAGCGCTAAAGCAACACATACTTAGGAAGTTGACATTTTTCTCACACAACCTCGATAGAATTGTGTAGAAACCCAACTTGAATTGTAGCAAACTAAATAGCATCACCCAACAATGCTCATCTTTGGTTACTTGATGAAGGTATGCTCATCTCCGGTGCTCATAGCTACCTTGATGACATCACCCCACAACGCTTATCTTTGGCTGCTTAATAAAGGTGTACTTGACTCTGGTGCTCACAGCTTCCTGGATATTTGATGGCGACTTCGCTCGTCGATGTTGCTCGCAATTAGAAGAGAGTACCATAACGAATAACGTCCATAGTAGCGTTGTTGAGTGTTGACAAAATTAGACAGCATAAAGGAAGAAAAAGCTAAGGTTTGATTTAATTCCTTCTCTTACTAGGATCTTCAAGAGAGAGGAAAAGAGAATTAATAAAGACTACTTTACAAGTAATTAGAGAAGGGTATTTATACCCGAACAACATGCATAGGAAAGGAAATTAGCTATCTTGGATAATCATGAAATATTAAATAATATCCTAAATATCTAATAATCTCTCTAAAATTATACTCTAACAAGAAAATATCTAATCTCCATGAATATACTTCATCGTAAACCTCCAATTCGTTTCCACAGGAGCCCAACATTGTCTTCTTACGATTAATAAAAAAACACTTTAAAAACAAATTATCTTTATAGAAAACAAATCAAGACTCCGTTCTGTCCTATTTTCTAATTATTTGAACAGATAATGATTATCTTTATAATAGAGATGATAATTATGATCTTATTATTTTCTTTCTTCTTCTTCTTCTTCTCATCCTCTTGCCTTAAAAAAGGAATATCTGAGAGATCAGAACCTTTCAAGCCCCACTCCTCTCTCGAATCCCCCAAGCCCTAGAGTCTCATATTCTTCGTCGCGATCGGCTTCGTGTTGGTCTCCTCCTTCGTCGTCGTCCGTCCCTCCTCCATTCTCGCGAGCGAGCGAAGATGGTGTTGGCACAGTTAGGCGGGACCATAACCCGCGCGATACAGCAGATGAGCAATGCGACGATCATAGACGAGAAGGTTCTGAACGGGTGCCTCAACGAGATCAACCGCGCCCTCCTCAATGCCGACGTCCGGTTCCAGCTCGTCCGCGACATGCAGAACAACATCAAGAGCATCGTCAGCATCGACGATCTCGCCGCCGGGCACAACAAGAGCAGGATCATCCAGCAGGTATGTGTTCTTTTTTTTTTTCTCTCTTTTTTTTGTGGATTGAGTTAACTATAAGCTGTCCGTGAATTGGCCCGGTTTTCTTCGACCAAAAAAAAAATTGGCCCGGTTTTCCTCCGTGCACTCCAATTAATAATTTCTTATTTTTTTATTTTCAATTTTTTTTAAAATTGAACTTTTTTAATTTTTTTAAATTTTTCTTTTTCTTTTTAGCGAGGCTCGAACTCTCCTGACGAAGAAAAAGAAAAAGAAATAAAATTTAATTTTAAAATTTAATTTTTTTAGGAATGAAAAGACAAATAAAAAATATAAAAATGAGTGAACAGAGGAGAATGAGCTTGGTCCGGGTGAAACAAAGAGTACAGAAAATATTTTCCTCTTTTCATAAAGATGTTTGAGGGTGTTTTTTGCATTGACGGAAAATGTTTTCTTTGACTTAGTTTATTTTCCGTGAACCAAATCCCGAAAAATCCGGAAGTCGGAGCCTAAGTTTTCTTTGACTAAAGTTGGAAAATATTAAATTTTATTTCTTCAGGAATATGTCAATTTTGAGGATGTTTTACATTTCGGACTCCAAATTGATAGGCTCACATTCTGAATATGTGCCTTGATATGAAGCGTTGATTGGGAAACGTCCTACTTTACTAAAGACTACTTTAGAAGAGAGTACCATAATGAATAATGTCCATAGTAATGTTGTTGTGTGTTGACAAAATCAGACAGCATAAAGGAAGAAAAAGATAAGGTTTGACTTAATTCCTTCTCTTACTAGGATCTTCAAGAGAGAGGAGAAGAGAATTTTTTTTTGGTCGAAAGAGGAAAAGAGAATTAATAAAGATTACTTTACAAGTAATTAGAGAAGGGTATTTATACCCGAACAACATGCATAGGAAAGGAAATTAGCTATCTTAGATAATCATGAAATATTAAATAATATCCTAAATATTTAATAATCTCTCTAAAATTATACTCTAACAAGGAAATATCTAATCTCCTTGAATATACTTCATCGTAAACCTCCAATTCGTTTCCACAGGAGCCCAACATCGTCTTCTTGCGATTAATAAAAAAAACACTTTAAATACAATTTATCTTCATAGAAAACAAATCAAGACTCCTCTCTATCCTATTTTCTAATTATTTGAACAGATAATGATTATCTTTATAATAGAGATGATAATTATGATCTTATTATTTCCTTTCTTCTTCTTCTTCTCATCCTCCTCTTGCCTTAAAAAAGGAATATCTGAGAGATCAGAACCTTTCAAGCCTCACTCCTCTCTCGAATCCCCCCCAGCCCTAGAGTCTAATATTCTTGGTCGTGATCGGCTTCTTGTTCGTCTCCTCCTTCGTCGCCGTCCGTCCCTCCTCCGTTCTCGCGAGCGAGCGAAGATGGTGTTGGCACAGTTAGGCGGGACCATAACCCGCGCGATACAGCAGATGAGCAATGCGACGATCATAGACGAGAAAGTTCTGAACGGGTGCCTCAACGAGATCAACCGCGCCCTCCTCAACGCCGACGTCCAGTTCCAGCTCGTCCGCGACATGCAGAACAACATCAAGCGCATCATCAGCATCGACGATCTAGCCGCCGGGCACAACAAGCGCAGGATCATCCAGCAGGTATGTGTTCTTTTTTTTTTTCTATCTTTTTTCTTGTGGATTGAGTTATCTATAAGCTGTCCGTGAATTGGCCCGGTTTTCCTCCGTGCACTCCGATTAATAATTTCTTATTTTTTCTTTTTAATTTTTCTTTTTCTTTTTAGCGAGGCTCGAACTCGCCTTACGACGAAAAAGAAAAAGAATAAAAAATAATTTAAAAATCAAAATTTTTAATAATGAAAAGAAAAATAAAAAATAATTAAAATGAGTGCACGGAGGAGAATGCGCTTGGTCTGGGTGAAAGAAAGAGAGAGAAAATGTTTTCTGTGTTTTTTGCATTGATGGAAAATAACAGAGCCTAAGTTTTCTTTGACTAAAGTTGGAAAATATTAAATTTTATTCTTCAGGAATTTGTCAATTTTGAGGATGTTTTACATTTTGGACTCCAAATTGATAGGCTTACATTCTGAAATAAGGTTCTTTGATATGAAGCGTTGATTAGGAAACGTCCTACTTTACTATCTAGGTGTGTGGTTAATTTTGATTTGCTATATGGGGGATAAAATATAATGTATCGCTCCCGGTGGCATCTCGTTTGGAAGAACTTTAGCTCATTAAGACATTAATGTGACTGTAAATGCTGGTTATTATGTTTAGTATTGATGTGATCTTTGCTTTCAGCATAGCTCTATTACAATTACTTTTTCGTGTTTTGGGGATGGGTGGAATATCCTGGAGATGTGTATATTGTGTTATTTGATCTGTCTGGTCATTTTTTAAGGACATATCTGTCACTGTTGTTAGACTTTAGTCTCTCATCCGTCCGAATGTGATCAAGAAGTACCCATGCGGTTCGCTTGTGGCTACTTTTGTTGCAGGCCATATTTAGTGAGCTGTGCAACATGTTGGATCCGGGGAAGCCTTCCTTTACTCCTAAGAAAGGAAAGACAAGTGTCATTATGTTTGTTGGTTTACAAGGTACTTAAAGATCTCCTCCAACTTGAGTTGATGTTTGCGAATTTAGTTACTTGGGATATGGATTATTCATTGTTGCATCCATGCATTCTGATCAAGTGGTTACAATTTGTTTGGAGGCTTTATATACTGCTTATGCTTCGATGTGTGAATATGCATTGTTATGACAGGATCGGGTAAGACCACGACGTGTACCAAGTATGCACATTATCATCAAAAGAAAGGTTGGAAGCCAGCTCTTGTCTGTGCCGATACTTTTAGAGCTGGTGCCTTTGATCAGTTGAAGCAGAATGCCACCAAAGCTAAAATTCCATTTTATGGAAGGTACTTTCTTTCGCGCGTTGCATTTTGATCTGCTCCTGTATGCAGACACCTAGTTCCTCAAACAAAATGAGTAGGACTGTCAGATTTCGTAAAAGTAAACTCAAGGTCTCCAAGTGCACATGTTTTCATCATGCATAAATTCTTTCTCGTGTTGATTAGTTTATCCTTCATTTACTCACGAGTGGGCTCACAGAATTTAACATTTAGGACTGTCATGTTTCGATGCAATTTCTTGGCCATCAATGATGCAAGTTCTGTGACAGTTACACGGAATCGGATCCTGTGAAAATTGCTGTTGAAGGTGTGGAGACACTTAAAAAGGAAAATTTTGATCTCATAATTGTTGACACAAGTGGGCGTCACAAGCAGGAGGCTGCTCTTTTTGAAGAAATGCGTCAAGTTTCTGAAGCAACGGTAGCATATGATCCTTTTGGGCATTTTCAGTCGGATCTCTGCTTCTTTAAGATTTTAACATGTTGCATGATATGCTGCAGAAACCAGATCTCATTGTATTTGTTATGGACAGTAGCATTGGTCAAGCTGCATTTGATCAAGCACAGGCATTCAAGCAAAGTGTTCCTGTTGGGGCTGTCATTGTGACTAAGATGGATGGTCATGCAAAGGGTGGTGGTGCTCTTAGTGCGTAAGTGTTATTTTGGTTAAGTCAGAGACAAACAATTCCATTTTCCATATTTTCCCTCTTCACAGTCGCCACCATTGAAGTGGTTTTCTAGTATTCAAATGGGGTAATGGAGTGGATTCATGCACAAAATGTCTGTAAACGGTTGCAATATGAGTCTTCGGAGTAGATTGCTGCTATCTTGCAGTCGCATATATATGTCGTGCGTATGTCTGTGTGTGTTTCTTTAAATGGCGGCGGCTATGATCCTATTCTGAGTTATAGCTCACGAATGAATATCGCTGGTTATATTCTTCGTTGGATTCTAATTGTTAGATCTTCAAAGTTTATGGGTTATGTTAATATATGTCAGTTTAGGCGAAAGATCACATAAAGAAACCTTTATACTTGTTTAATTGAAAGCGATTATTATTTTCATGGGACCGAAGGTGAAGTATTCTCTAAGAAAAAAAAAAAATTTGGTTGGGAATCCAGCACGGATAAGTTTTACCCGTCGAAGGTTACTTAGACTTGAGATACTTTTGGGAACATAAAAATGCTTACGGATCTTCCTTTGGTCTGAGTTCATTTGTTTGCATTTGCAGTGTCGCGGCAACGAAAAGTCCTGTGATCTTTATAGGTACTGGAGAGCATATGGACGAGTTTGAAGCGTTTGATGTTAAGCCTTTCGTCAGCCGGCTATTAGGTAGGTAGTTTCATTCGGGTTCTGTCTTTCAATGTGTCTTGTTTATATGCACGCATTCTTTTAGCGGTTCAATATTTTGGTGGAAACTATATTCTTCCACATAGGTATGGGCGACTGGTCTGGGTTTATGGACAAAATTCGCGAAGTGGTGCCTGAAGATCAACAGCCTGAGCTTCTACAGAAGCTTTCCGAAGGGTACTTTACCTTGAGAATTATGTACGAGCACGTTCAGAACATTCTTAAACTGGGTCCGATAGGCCAGGTTTGTGTTCCTTCCCCATCATTGGATACGATGCTCTATCTTATCATCCCGTGCTTTTTTGTTTTGGAGATTCGCGCAAAGTTGAATTATTTGTGCGTGCATCAGAATGCACGAGCATGCACCATGTCAAGATCTGTCGATGATCTAGGCTAATACGATTTGGTTGTCTCGAATCAAGGTTTGCTCCATGCTGCCGGGGTTCAGTTCTGAATTGATGCCGCAGGGTCGAGAGAAAGAAAGCCAGGCGAAGATCAAAAGATACATGACCATGATGGACTCAATGACAAACGAAGGCAAGTCATGCTGTAGTATATACATAGTTCAGCTGTTTATGTTATTTTGTCTTACGGTTGCGGCGAAGGTTTTAAAATTCAAATCCTTGCCTCCGAGCCTTGATTAAACTGAGTTCGATTTGTTCCAGAGCTAGACAGTTCAAATCCAAAGATCGTGAACGAATCGAGAAGCGCGCGGATAGCGAGGGGTTCTGGTTGTGACGTCGGCGAAGTCATGGAAATGTTGGAAGAGTATAAGCGGCTCGGGAAGATTTGGCGCAACATGAAGGGGGTTAAGATCCCGACGCGGGGCGCTATGAATACACGGTCTCGGAACATGTACGCGCAACGCATGAGCAGAGCTCTCCCACCTCAGATGCTACAGCAGATGGGTGGCATGGGAGGTTTACAGAAGTTGATGAAGCAAATGGAACAGTAATCCGTTTGGTGACGCAATTTCATTTTTCTATTTCCGGGATAAATTTTTAATCCAGAAATAGGTTTGGAACAGAAATGAGAAGTAGAAATTTTTCTACTTCATCGAGTGACAAGCGATACGGCGCTATGATTTAGACTAGGGAGAGCGAGTTCTGGTGGGAAGGTTCGATGCATTTGATTCGCATTCTTGTGTAACTAATCAAAAAGCTGCCTGGAATAGTTAGGTACAAGATTTTTGTTCTTTGAGTTAGGATGATGGAAGAGCAGGTGCATACTTATTTCATAGAGTCAGCTTAAATGTATAAATGAAGCTTTTCTGAGTCTTTCCTCCCTTTGTCGGGTGAATTTCTTGGTGCCATCTGACAATGCTCGGTGGTGGTAGTGGTGTCGGAACCGAAACCAAACCGAAATTTCGTGCATTTTCGATTCGTTTTGGTTTTTTGGAAAAATAACCGTTCTTTTTTTTCTGATTCGGGTTCGAAAGAGGAAGGAAAAGCCGAAAACCGAACGGCGTTCGGTTCGTATTCGGTTCGGTTCGGTTTAGTAGATTTTGTTTCTCTGTTTCAGGCCGGGCCAGAATTCCGAGCTTCTCATGGTGAAAAATGTTAGCAGAAAAGGACGGTCGTTCTTCAACGAGACGATGTTTCAGGGTCAAGTTCAAAAAATTTGCTCGATTCGTCTGTTTCAACCAGAAAGGAACACGGAATCTTTGCAAGCATCTTCGATCTCCAAAGCATAAAACTGTCTTGTAGTAACATTCGTTTCATTAAAATATCAAAGAATGTTCCTTTCCATTTAAGAAAAGCAAGAAAGAATCAAACAACATTCTCCACAAAAATTTCCGTCCTTTTTTTTGTTTTATTGTTCTAACAAAAATGACACATCGCCGGCTCTCGACTTTTCTCAACGACGCTCTTCGACCAGAGGAAACGGGGACAGCCAGTGACTGGACGACCGCGACGACGGACTCCCTGAGCCGCCAACACCACCGCCATCGCCCCCGCCACAGGTGGCACGCAACATGCCAACCAAGTAATTATCCAAATCATCAGGGGAGTATTTGACCGCCGAATCTCCGGTCGGACAGTTGTTGTAGAGCCGCCGATAAGCCGGCACGAGCTTCTCCGCCAGCGACAGCGTGGTCTCGTCCCTCAGCTTCGAGTCGGGGCACGGCCCATCTCACCTGCTTGGCCCGAACCTCCTCCAGCGCCGCATTGAACTTCCTCAGGGATTCCTTCGCCTGGCCGAAAGATATCTCGACGGTGAGATCGGCCAATGATGAGAAGACCTTGCTCCATCCCATCCGTTCGTAGTTGCTCGCGTAGAGCTTCACCTTCGACTCGTGCTTCTCCACCCAGTGCTCACCGAGGAGGTGCCTCAAGTTCGACCGAGCCACCTTATCGATGACGTACCAGAGGTTGTTGGCGAGGAAGAGGCAAGAGAGAGCCACGTCCTTGTACTGCTCGGCCTTCACGTCGAGCTTGCACAGCAGGACAAGAACGAGCCATGAAAACCGTGCGAACATCGCCGACGCATCGCCATCTCTGGGCAGCGACGGAGGCGGCGGAGTTGCAGCCGGCAATGTAGGAGTCCAGGAACCACGGGTGCTCAGGGCTACTGTTGACGGGCCAGTCGGCGAGTGTGTCAGCAATGACATCGTCGTGGTTGGCGAGTGTTGTCACCTATTTTTAATTGCCTAATTAAATTACACAAAATTAATAATTAAATTTTTGATTCCTAAAACAAAAATATTTTCATTGCATGGCATATAAACAATATGTGCATATTTAATTAATAAAAAAAGGGAAATTAAATTTAAAAATTATTTTTAAAAAAAGGGGGAGACTAGGCCGAGGAAGGCCCGACCCGACCTCCCTTCTTCTTCCCTTTCGTCTTTCTTTCCCGGGCCCAACTCTTCCTTTTTTTCTTTTCCTTGGCTCGGCCTCCTTCCCTCTCTCCTCCTCCTTCCCCAACCCGGCCACGCTCCCCCTCTTCCTCCTTCCTTCTCCCCTACAGCCGACCACCGTCTGGACAAAGCGGAGAAGCAGCTCCGCCACGCAAAAAATGGCCATCAAAGTCAAGGAATTGTTGTGGAAAACTCCTATTAATTTTGAAGTTGACAAAACCTTCCACATAATTATAAGTCTGATACTTATTCTGAACTAATTTATTCAAGGTATTTATGTTGGAAACTCGGAAGGAAATTATTCGGACTTTACAAAGCATCCAAGTATGTTTTGAAGACCCACATAATCTAGGTTACGAGATTCGGACGCGAAGTTATTCGGATCTGGATGCAAAAGCGAAGTTATTCAGATGCGGATGCGAAGCGAAGTTATTCGGATGCGGACGGCGAGAATTTCTTGAGCCGGAGAATTGAACGAAACACAACAGCTAGTGATCTGGCATGGATTTCACAGAAGGAATGTTCTGATTGTCTCAATCTCAATCAAATTGATTGACAATCAAACATCTCGACAAGAATGCATTACAACGGACAAAGCTCTACTTATGGAAACCAAGATTCTGATTGTATGGGCGACCAGAATCAGCGGGATTCAAAATCTGTCATCCAACGGCTACTCAATCCTTATTATACAAATCTGTCCAAGGTGAAGATTGGAAGATGATCCTCTGAAAGCTGTCCAACGGCTAGTAGAAGAGTATTTAAGGAGATCAACGAGCAGCAGAAGGAACACAAAATCAAGAATCAACAAGTCCAAAGTTTGAGCATACTCCAATCATTTCTCTTGTCGTTCTGAGCAAAACATTAAGATCTTGAGGGACACTTTGTAAGAGTGATTGTGTGAGATAGAGAGTCATATCATACACAAGAGTGTTAACACTCAGAAGTTGTAATTCCTCTTGATTACATAGTGAAATCCAGCCGGTAGGCTGTAAGCGTGGGAGAGTGGACGTAGGATTGCTATAAGCCGAACCACTATAAACTTGTGTGCAAATTCTCTATCCCTTATCTCTTACTTTACATTCTGCACATCAAGAGCACCGTCTATATAATCTGTCTTGAATCTGAATTTTATTCAGACTCTTCTGTGATTTATTTTGTTTCTGCATAAATTATTAAAAATTGGTTAAGATCACCTATTCACCCCCCTCTAGGTGATCCTTGCTAGCTACATCATGAATGAGGGTAGGCCGGTGCAGAGCAGTTAATGGAGAGGATAGGAGGGCAGAGGGCAGGTGGCCGTTGGCCATAAAGAGAAGAGGAGGGGGAGCTCAGCAAGAGGGGAGTTCAGTTTTGGGGAAGCGATAGAACAGAGGGGGCCGTGAGAGAGAGACCTAGAGAGATTCTGAGCAACAACCAGAGAGGGAAGGGCCTCTGCCGGCAACCACCACGCCTCAGCTTAGCCACCAATCCTCGCCGCCGAACCGGGGCGGCTACACATAGAGAAGGAAAACAGAGTCATGAGAGGTGAACGGCAGAACAGAGGGCCACGCGAGAGTGAAACCAGAGAGAGATTGGGGAGCCAAGGCGTGAACCAAGTGATACACGGGGTTTCCAGTGGCCACCACGTTGGAATCGCAACCGGCGAACCACTGCCGACTCAGGTAGAGAGCCCCTGGTCGACTGCCCCTGTTTGCCCTGTTTTTCGGGCGTCTTAGGCTAGAACTCGCAACCGTTCGGTCCACGCGAGCTCTGGCCCATGCCGCTCCCATATTTCATTCCCAGACCCTGCACATCCCATATCTAGGGTCCTAGCGGGAGTTCAAGTCTCCGTGAAGCCTAGAATGCTTCGTTTTGAAACGCTCGTTACCTGTTTGCTAAAATGCTCAAACGAGATTTGGTTTTAAGTTTTCTATTTTCGCCAGCATTGGGTCGTCCGATCACTGTCTCGTCCAATTGAGGTGTCTTGACGGCGTTTTGGCATATTTGGGTGTCAGCCGTTTGGCTGTTTCGTTGCATCCCAAGCATCCTTCACTGTGATCGTGATTGGTTGAGAAGAGGCGCTCTCAGCCGGTAGTGTCGGGACCGACTAGGAGGAGGCTGGCGTCTCTCGACCTGGGTCGACCAGCGTCAACCATGGCCGGGTTGAGGCATCGGATGCCCTTCGCGTCGATCATCTCTGTCCCGAGAGAAATGGCTGCACGGAGGAGCCGAGAAGCAAGGGAGCGCAGGGAACCGGGTCTGTGGCTGCTTCCGGGTTGGGTAGAGTCGAGTCGGAGCAGGGTTGGGCAAAAAGCGTGACCCGATTCCCCTTTTTTATTTATTTATTTTTGGGTTAATACACAAAAAAAAAACCCCAAACTATGCCCATTGTGACATATTTACCCTAAACTTTTTTATTTATACCAAAAATCTCAAACTATGCCCATTATAACACATTTACCTCAAATTCTTTTTTATGACACTAAAAACCCCAAACGATGCATTTTGTGACACATTTAACCTTCGGAATTGAATCTCCAAAATCCCCGTTCATCGCACTGTTCATCATCTTCTTCATGAAATTTTTTACTTTTCATCGTCTTCTCCACAGCTTTACGAGGACTGTTCATCACGTTCGCTTGGCCAAACTCCTCTGATGCTCTTTGCTTCTCTGCCCACTGCTACCTAGCATAACAAATTACTGTTCATCGTCTTCTCCGTGAAGAAGAACGGTACTTTCTTGTCCACAAAACGAAGCTTTGAGATGGTTGAGCTTGAGTGGTTGCCATGACTGCTCTAGCTTGAAGCTTGGCTTGAGGGTCTAAACTCGACCTTCGAAGCTCGCGGGCAGTCGCAAGTGGCCAAGGCCAAGCTTCAAAGCTCGCGAGTGGTCGCAAGCCGCCATTGCCAAGCTTCGAAGCTCGCGGGTGCCATGACCGCTCTAGCTTGAAGCTTGGCTTGAGGATCTGACCTCGACCTTCGAAGCTCACGGGTGGTTGCAAGCGGCCAAGGCCAAGCTTCGAAGTAGCTTGAAGATCAAGCTTCGAAGCTCACGGCCACCATGGCCACTCGAGCTCGAAGCTTGGCTTGAGGGTTGGGTCTCACCTCGATCTTCGAAGCTCGTGGATGGTCGGGCAAGCGCAGACAAGAGCCGCCGAAGGTCGAAGTAGCAGTGGGCAGCGAAGGAAGAGCGTCGAAGGAGGAAGAGTGCGATGAACAATACTTCACAAAGCTGTGGAGAAGACGATGAATTTCAGTAACAGTGCGATGAACGGTGATTTTGGACAGAATTGTAACGGAGGGTAAATATGTCACAAAATGCATAGTTTGGGATTTTTGATGTCACAAAAAAGAATTTGGGGTAAATGTGTCACAATAGCCATAGTTTAGGGTTTTTGGTGTCACAAAAAAA